TCACTCCAAGCAACCCATCAGCCCACAGCCCGTGCAGCACCGCACCTGAGAAAAGGATTGCGGTGGTGGTGGCGGTGAAAGTATCCATTCCAACATTTCCAACTCGAGAGCTTTCTTTTATTGCCCGAATGTGCCGACATCCCGTGCTCAACAAAGCCCCCAATTTGCAATACTGTAATTCTAAGCCACTGGGATTTTGATTTTTAAATTTAGATTTATTTTCCCAGAAACTAGAGATTTCAATTTTCCTGTTAGGTTCACATCCATTCAACTACCTTCACCAGTTTATCTTGTACACGAGGACAGCAAATGGGGAAATTTGTTCGCGGTTTCTTATTGGCTCTGAGAAACCCACATTAGTTGATTTCACTGCCCGACCAATGAAATCAAGTGCACTGTTAACTAAATAATTTCAAATAGAAAAATTACAAATTGTGTGACAGTTATCCCATCCACTTGAAGTAGTACTACTTACTTACTGACTATATGACGTAGCCCAAAGTACACATATTTGTATTTACTTCTAGCGTGTGTAGTCTAAATTGCTGAGAGTTTGAGACTGACAAAAATAGTTAATAGTGTAATTAAATATCATATCGAAAGTACATATTGATCCAAACTAGATATATGCACGTAGTTCTTGAATATTAAAAGAAAGCGTTTTCGCCAAATGAATGACCAAATTCTATTTTAGTAATGTCTAAGCCAAGTTTTATGTTAAGTTCGTACTACTTATAGAATGAATTAATCATCTTCAGGCGATAAATTTTATTTATTTTCTTGCAGATAAAATGTGCATGTACGACTTGATTTGAGAGTTTTTGGATTAAAATAGAATTTGTAAGAATAGTAAAATTACTAAAATGTCAAGAGAGGTTGTTAACACTTTCTCTTCTCAAAGCAATCTGTGCGCGAGTCGTCTTTCTGGCATGCACGAGTGCTTGTAAGGTATGCAATTTCTGGGAGCTGAGAATACGCGTTTTATTGCTTTGTCCTTGTTACGGAGGGCGGAGGACGACGATGTATTAAGTGAGAAGGATTGCGAGCAAGTAATTTTGTCGCTGTGAATGTCTCTTTAATTGTGTGAGCTAGAAGAGAGTGCATGTATATAATTACTCAATATTTGAGATCCCAGGGGAAACAACTGGTGAACATCTAATTCTCAAGTAATCTCAACTTTCCTGGCATGCAGTAAACTCCTTCGCGTTTCTTATCGTCTAAAACGGCGTCAAACTGTCATCTCTGCGTCTCTCACCCTCTCTGACTCAACTAATTCGACTTGTTTTTCTCGAGTATTGTATTTCCTTCATTCAACTACGACCCGTCGGACAACCGACCACCACCACCACTCCTTTCCCCCGAACTTGTCACGGTTTCTGTGTCGTCTCTGTGTATGTTCTACTTGGCTCCAATCCCGAGTTGGAAATTTTGTGAAAAACAAGTGTTTCGGGACAACGTTGTTGCTGGGGTTTGGTTTGTGTGTTCGTCGGCAATCCACCCAGCATGTTATTCCGTTTTAGCTGGCAAATATTGAGTCGAGATAGGATTCCGGCTCTTTCCTAATAACATAAAATGATGAATGACGAGTCAACGTTAGGTAAATAGTCTGTATAGAGATGTGTATATGACACCCACCCATGGACTCGCTCGCTGTAACTTATTTGGGGAAAGGGAGAGAAAAGATTAATCAAATACAATGCCGTCCATCAAACTGCACATCTCTTGCAAAAGCCTTTTGGGCATAAAGTCTTTCGCTCGCTCACTATCCGACCGACACACCAGCGCGTCTTGTTGGTTTATGCTGCTCGCCAGATAGTGATTATATGTGAATATATGTACAAGGATATATTTACACCAGTATGCCGTAGAATTTTTCGGTAAAATTTTGGCCAATCCTAATGTAAACTTCACCCGGGGTTTCCTCACTAGTCACATAGCTAAAAATTCAGCAAATCATCTAGATTATGATAGAAAAAAGTCTAGCTGCGCATACTTGCGTCTGGCCGAAAAATTAAAGGTCAAAGTTCTGCACTTTTTCTTAGGTGCGGCAAAAAGTACAATTTGGGGAAATGATCAAACAAATTTTCAAATTGCTTTGTACATCCCAAATGATGTTGCCATCTATGTATTATATTTTTTAAACCTATCAAATTATCGGAAATACGATATTTTGCTGCACCTAAGAAAAAAGTGCAAAACTTTGACCTTAATTTCTCAGTCGGGTGAAAGTATCTGCAGCTGGACATTTTTGTATCGTAATCTAGATTATTTCCTGGGTTTTTTGAGCTATCTCACTAGTCAGGAATTCAATGTGAAGTTTACATTAAAATGACCAAAATTTTACCGAAAAATCCTACAGTGCAGCACCTTATATAAATTCTGTCTGTTCCTGTATTATGATATCACGTCTGTACGTACGTATCTTCTTCATCCACATGGACACAAGTCACTCTAGATTGTTGCGACATAGTTCATTTATAAAGTGCAATAAGCAACTGACCGTGCAGTATGTCATCCTATTATATCCTGCTTACTATATATTGGTTGTTGGGTTGGTGGTCGGTTGTGAAGACTGACCAACTGGCCGATTTGAACACATCATCATCGTCGTCGTCGTGGTCATCATCGCTATCGTCGCTCCAGCATATAATACTTGTCATCGCCGAATAACCTCTATTATTGACATGGGTCTGGATAGAATATGACATCCTCAGCTTTACATGTACGAGGAATCTACGGAAATGGTTAGAAATGTTCATCAAAGGACATTTCGCACGATTCACTGGTTCACAATGACCACCAACAGAACATCCACAATCAAGGCACCATCAATGGTTACGTTTATACGTAGTACACATGCCAGTATGTCATACACTTGAATCATCATCTTCAAGCCATGCGATGTTCATTTCTGGGTGCAGTATGTGAGTTCCCCTAATGGCATCGCTCGCGTGTTTTCTTTCTCCGTCTTGTCCGCTATTTATTAACCTCACTCATGCCACACACTCGATTTCTCCTTGGAAAGGGACAGATGGATTTAAGAGTGTAACATTATTATTAGACCGCTTGCCCCGTGACTCAGCAATAGTAAATACAACATTACGTACATATGTACGTCCGAGTACATGCACACGCATATATGTATATGTTCTAAATGAATGATAATCCCTGCTCCTAAAAGGTCATACAATACTTGTCGACAGATTTGGAACGGAAAAAACTCCTCCAACATCAACTTCATCTAAATTCATTCGACTTTCCTGGAAAAGTGGAGCAGAATGAAGGGAAAGACGAGTGAGATGGTTTAGTGATTCGTTAATGAGTTGCTAACCTTGTGCTTTAACCCAAGCAGTCACGATGAGGAGGAGGATGACCGCATGGGGTAAACAAGGCAATGACGGAAAAAACTACCCTATCTTCACTCAATATCTGTCAATCATGACTCCCGAAAATATCGACTACGACATCCGGTCCATTCGATGAAGACTGTAATCAGTGGGCACCTGCCTGAGCAACCAGTCAGCAGCCGAGTCACTTGCCCAAATTTCCATCCCCCTCTTTCTTGCGTAATCGCCCATACACGGGCTAGTGGACACACGAGGAAGGAATAATTTGGTTGGACAGTCAACATATTATACAGCCAAAAATTGGACACAAGGAGAGATACCAAATAAAACCCGTGTTTGTATACTATTTCATCCAAGTTTCAATCATGTAGTTTCTTCTCTTGGCTTGTGGCTATTATTATTGATGTACATTATTGCGCTATTCCATCAGCTTGTCGGAAACGTTCAAGGAGAACGGCAATCGAGCCATTATGGACAAATGTTTGGATGGACTTGATTCCTCTTTGCCTCGTTCGCTGGGAAGAAGCTCAGTTTTGTCGTACAATATTTGCATTGCATTATTACTTGTGTGTTTCCCTTCCATACAATATGACGAGGAATCTAGGAGCATGTATAGGAAGATGTGCAATCCTTTTACAAGTGATTTTCCCGCAGGCCATTATGATGTTAAAGTATTATATGCATAAACGGATCAAACAGTGGCTTATTACTGGAATTTTTAAACCGTCCTATATATTTATCATAGGTTTTCCGGTGACACAGCACACATGCCACATTTCTTATCGCACTGTGGGGTATTGGTTTGGACATTTCCAACAGTTTCAGCATAACATCCGCCAAACAATATATAACAGTCTGCCCTTGTTAAATACATAGTTACCTAAACATTCTGAAGCAGTTGGAGCTTGAACAACAGGGCTGTTTGTTACCCCACTAGAGATTTCTGCAGTGATCAATGATTGACCGAGTAAATTAAATAAATAAAAATGGTTTTTAGTCCGCAACCCCATCCGAATCTGCCCAGAGATCTGGTTCTATTTATGTGAGTGGGGGAAATTATTTGGGGACATATGTACATGAACACTAGGGGCGAGAGAGTGACGATGCACAAAACATTAATTAATCATATTTACCAAATGAATTGCAACAATGCATTATTTTTAGTGAAGCGGTTCATAATAATGTATGTACGACATATGCGACATTAAAAAACCAATCGAAGGAAATTTGACCAAGTAGATTTTCAATTTTTTGGAGTTTTATGTGACCACACGCACATGAAGGCCAGTCAAAACATTTACAGTAATAACCTGTTCTTCCAGCCCGCAGTTAGTCGAAAGTCGTACACGTACAAGGTCGTTTAAATCGATTTTGAGAGATTGGGAATGCAGTGACACAACAAAATGGACAGTATAATCGCCATCAATTTGTCAATCTCTTCCCTCTCTTATCCTTATCATGGTGAATGAATAAACTATTAAATAAATGAAATGATTTGGGTTGAATGGCTGTTTGGCCAACTACTAGACATCAAAATAATGTTGTAGTAGTCAATAAATGAGGAAAGAAGGATACACTCAAGTAGACAAAATTGGTTGTGTAGGAAATTGATAGGCGCATGGTTTCATAGAATCGTCTTACATACTTACAACAAACGGTACGGAAAGGTAAATATTTATTTGTCCCATCGATTTTTTTTCTAGCCCACTTAATCTGTTTTACATGGATGGTAGTTGAACTGACATGAGAGTAAACTTAAGTAAAAAACGTCGTGCACACAGAGTGAGACTGAGGACATTATTGGAGACAATAAAAGTCGAAGACGAGCAAACAAAAATCATTCCACCCTCACGCGACCAGTGTGGGATCGAAAATCAACGAAGCGCACATAACGGAATTCCATCATCGTCATTGCATATATGGTGGCGGTGGTCGGGGTGGTGGAAAATGTGCTGTTATGTGGATGAGAGCTGCTCGTCGTCCTTATCAATTGCGGCCCTGCTGGTAATTTGCTATCTCAACAAAGAAGAAACCATGTTATTGATTTATTCAAACAATGGGACTCAAGATATATGTACATTCTGTGCAAGTTTGACGATTCCGCATGTAATCCTCTCTGGTTCGTTAAGCATCGAATCTGTCGTGTCAAACTGCCATGTGTATGTTTTATGATTCCGTTCCTCATCCCCTTCCTCAATCAGTGAGAATGCTTTAGTTTTGTTGGTCTTAGCAGCTTGCACACAAATAAGGTCGATAATGGTAACGCACCACCTTAAGCCACGCAATCTGTATTCATCTTGTACGTCTCGCCGTTTAATTTAGAAACTCCTTTCAGATGAGATCTGGAGCAATTTGAAGCAAGAAGCAAAGCAAGCGCTGCTTTGCTCTCGCTCCTCCGTGGCTGAGCAAAACGAGAAAGGAACTGAATTTACTAAAGTACGAGTGGAATCGAGAACAAGGTGTATCGTCATATATTATCAGGGCAAATAGATTGTGGAGTCCCGCAGAGCAAGGATAAATTTAGAACACCTTCCTCTTCTCATTAGATTAATAGCAGTGCTTTACTGTATTAGGACAACCAGCCCAGCACTGGCACATATCTGTACATACATGCGTCTATCCGTTCAGGCCAAAACAATGGAATGTTTGCTGTTACGTGTACACAATGGCTGCTGACTCCAATTTACAACAAGGGCGGCTTTCCCGTTATTGTGTTCATGTTGTGAGTTCATTGATGACAAAAACGCATTTAACCTTTTAAGAGCAGATTCCGAATCGCCCAAGCAATGCAATTTACTTTGAATTTCATCTTATCTCAAGTGTTTCTATGTCTCTCCACATTGCATGCATACGACCAGACCAGCAGAGATTAAGAAAGCGTAGGTATCTCTCCATAAAAAATACCAAGCCAAAGACGACTGGAAATCTGGAATGAACCTCCAAAAATGAACTGAACACAGGCAACATACTTATTGCAATGTGTATGCATATAAATAAGCGTTGCTCGTTCTTCAAGGAAACAATGGATTACAAAAGTTGGGGCAGAAACAAGTACCGTATGTCGTAAAATATGCTAGCGAGCAATGCATATAGCTGTTGTGAAAACTCATCAGCTAAGAATGGGCTAGGAAAATGGAGTTTGTGGCCGTTTACCCAAGCGAGAGTTCTTGTTAACCGTTTCATTATAATAAAGGGAAATTATACGAGTAATTTGGAACACTGTATATTTGTCGTCGTCTTTTTCCTCTGCTACCCTTTTCCATGCATGCATTCACTTGCAAGCAGATAGTGGAAGTCATGGAATTAAGCCCAACCCCAGCAGCTCATCATCACGTGCGCTGTACTGCACTCACTAAAGGAGGAAAGAGAGAAAAAGAGAGAGAGAGAAAGGGAAGAGTTGGGAATTGTCAAGATTTTTATTAGATGTACGCATTAGAGAAAGCTGATAATTTTTCCACGGGGGACACACTGGAGAAAATGGAAAAGAGGTAAAAGAGATTGGAGTGTAGACACGAACGACACAATGTTAGAGCAGCAGCAGCAGCAGCAGCCAGTTGTGGAGACGACAGTTGGTAACCGTTCCCGATGGACTCCCCTTGTCAACATCCCTTGGGATCTTCAACCACCGCCACAACAGCCACTCTGATGCTGCTGCCCATTCTCTGGTCGTCCTGAGGAGAAAATACAGTTAGAAAATGCTGAAAATCCGGAACACGGAGGAAAAGTGAAACTGTCACGTCGACGATGATGTCGGTTGGTGCTGGAGATGTGTGTGTGTGGTGCGTCCTATTAGGCAGAATCCTGTGGCTCTTGTTCTGTGGTGACGGTAGTTCAAAGTGGCAATTCCGCCTCGTGGCAGTCGTGGCTATTGTTAGCAAAAAGTTTTCACCCCTTCGCGTTGTCAACCACAGAACGAGTCAACGGGAGCTAGAAAGAGGCAAAAAAGAGATAATTTCATGTGGCTTACTCCCGTTGTTTATTGTCCTCTCAATCTATGAGTATGTTTGCTCGCCCACCACTACCAATTGCATACAGATCTGCAAACACCACCTTTCCGAGCATTTACCAGCACCACCACAACAACCAGAACTGCACTGATGTGCTGGGGGAGGAGCAGAGTGTGAAGTGTGTGTACGTCCTCGTTGAATGGCATGCATGCATATCTGCTCAGGAAAGGGTTGACTTTTCATACTCAAATCTTGTTTGAATTTCATAACTGCTGAGGTGATGTTGGAGAGGCTGGAAGTGAGCAAGGAAATCCACCATTTGATTTGGTCCTTTCTTTCGACAAAGATATAAATTTTCCTGGCTTTCAGAGAGAGCGAGAGTGAGTGAGTGAAGCGTGACGACCTTGTTATAACAACGGATGATGAAAAACGGAGATAGGATTGGAGGAGCTAAAACCTCCCGATACAGCTCTTCCTACCTTTTACCTCCACTTCCTGCTCTGCTTTGTTGCGGAGGAAGAGGTAGCGACGGCTTTCACCAATACGAAGCTGCAGTTAAAAGACCTTTTCCATACAGTCCTTCTCCTTATCGGCCTCTAGTCAACTTGGTTGTGGAGGCATAGCGTTTGCAAAATATGTACGTTTGTCACATCATATTGACTCCCCCTCTTTGGCAGCGGCCCCATGATAACTGTTTATTATGGGCAGATCCACTCAAACTGATCAAGAATTCCCACTTTGCCATAAAGTACCCACTGTTTAACCCTCAGCTCACTGTTTGACCGAGGATGAGGAGGACTTTGTTTCCTCATACCCCACTCATACATACGTATGATGTGCCTAATATTAAAGCTGAGCCAAATTTGGTTTCCTATTACGTGGCAAGATACAGATAAAGTAGTGGTGGCTTTAAACTCTCCCTCCCGATAAGCCTCAGGTTCCTCTGTGGGGTTGGGGCAGTATTGGACCCCCCCCCTCCAAAGAGTCATGTCATTGAAGGATTGGGCTCTTTGCCCTTTAATGGCGGCACTTGGTTTCCAATAAAAAAGCAACCTTTTATTATTCCGTCGTATGCACGGATTGATGCGGCTGAGACAGGAATTTTCGCGAGTAAAAATGCATACATAATGCTACCAAACGGAGATACGAACCTGACAAGCACGGCTGGTAGAGAGACATAAAGCAGGAATAAAATTTGGTTAAAGCTTTTGAAGGATCATTGTAGAGGACTTTTAGCACGGAAAAGACAATCGCCATTTTGTGCATAGCAGGTTTTATGAAGTGGAAATTTTTACATCTTCCTCCCAGATACAGCAGAGGCCCAGACAGAGCGAGAAAGAGTGGGAGAAAGTGTCCCTTTCACTATTTCTGCTGTTGTTGCTTGTGGTGACTTGGAGTGCAGTTCAGCAGCAGTGTGATGTTATTGCCAGCAAATTCTCCATCGGATTGGAGCAGTAGTGGATTCTCTTTACTGTACAATCCATATAAACACTAAACTCGTGAAAGATATACGAGCCCAAGTCCACTTTACCAGTCGCCATTCAATTCCATTACCATTTTTACCATTGCATTGCCTCTCTTATTGTCCACGGAATCTAAATCATCGTGGTCCGGCTCACGACTGAGAAAAGCGTCGTCGTCGTCGTCGTCCTCGTCGTCGTCCCATAACTCAGCCAACTCAAGATACACTTTTAGTCTCACTCCCACAACAAGGAAGTAAATTCACTCCTGTCACACACCACCAATGCAATATTCTGTTTTCCTTCTGCTCCTCTCTCCAAGGTAGCCAACTAACCAAACCAACCAACCGTCCAGCAGCAAGTACCCATATAAGTACGTAGCAGTCGACCAAAAGTGGTGTGGAACACTAAATTGAAAGTGTGCAGAAGCCCTTTCCCTCTCCTCCTGTCTCTCGTACGGCACCAGATGCTAGCCGGAATTCAGCCGGAACGCCATTCGACCAACATCAGGGAAGAGTGAAAGGGTGGTCCACTACTGATGCATGGCTACTTGGTGGGCGACTTCCTTGCCTCGTTGAACGTGGAAATGAACATTGGAAGAAATCCACAGAGATCATTTTCATCATTTTCATCATTTTCAAATTGCCAAAAGGCTTACTTATGGCAGTTTCAAGTAATGCCCAATAATACCCACCACAGAGTTAAGACAGTAGAAGTAGTGCTCCCTCTTGTCCCGAGTAATATGCTGGTGGGAAAAGGATCCTGAGTTCTGCTAGTTCACCGTGAACCTCTCACTCTCGCGTATGTATAAGCAGAGAGCAAGCTGTGTGATTCCATTTAATGCTTAATTTAAACATTTGTGGCCATAGCTCTTACAACCATCCCTTTCACATTCAATTAATGCAACGCTCATTTCCCTTTCGGTTATTACATGAGATACATGCACACTGCACTGGCTGGAATTTGGGTGGCCACGTTGTGTGTCATCTGCTACACTAAAGGCACTACGGCAAAGCAACCTTTTTGGTTTTCCTCATCATCATTCCCTTCCTTCCTTCCTCTTAGGAAATCACTCGTCGCGTCGAGTATACAGCATTATCGCATGATTATGCGTCCAAGGAATGAATGCACAGCTAAACTGGTCACACTTAATACTGACATAATAGAATACGTACATATACATTGAAGTATGTATGTAGAGCTTGTCGTCCATTCTACACACTTCTGTTTATGTTGGATGCATGCAACTGCCGCCCTGTTATTAAAAGTGTTGTTGCACAATCTCCAAATCTCATTAATCGCTCTATAGGAAGATTGTTCGTCGGCCATGGTTTGGAAAATGCAAATGAGTTGGTTGTGCAAATACAAATTAAAATTGGGGTGATGGTGTGTTAGAAAAGAGTTTCATGGCTCTCTACACTTTCCCTTTTGGCTAGACGTATCTGTACGAAATAGATTTCGTTCCAAAGTAAACTTACATACGTGGTGCTGCTGTTATGCCACCGATTGCTACATGAAAGGACACGACGACGTTACGGAGGCAACGATGCTGCTGCGAATTTAAAATTTTACGGGATGTGTTAAATCAAACTTAACACCACCACGAAATGGCCACCACCAGAAGGAAAGGGTGAAGCGGAGTGAATATGGAAGCGTCCTCGGATGTGAATAGAGGAGCCAGTTGGAAGAATAGCTTTGTCCCTGGAACAAAGCTCCCAGATGAGCCACTAAAATAATAAAATCGATGAATGTGACAAACAGGCAGGGGACGAGAATAAGCCGGGGATAATGAACGGGGCTTATTTATACGCATCAACTGGTGAAATAAATGTGCTCACTTTCTACACAACAGAGAGTCAGCAGATTCATGGAGCATCATCACACATTGCATGGCACCGTTTGCATTTGGAGCAACTTGTACTACAACAGAATTCACAATGTGAAAAGAGATTTACAGCTCAGCAGCAGGCCCGACCACCGAAAGTGAATTCAGATTTCCAAATGTGTGTGAACTCTCCTCAATGTTGCTGCTGTTTCATCATGACTGTCACTCCCAACTTTTTGTCCTGTCCTCTTTAAAAATGAGCATGCCAACCAAACAATTTTGGATGGATAAATTGTGAAATATTTGTTCATAAGCTTTGTTCTCTATTCTTGTGGAGCTAAGTGTTTCTTCGTCGACGTCTTCCTGTTATTGCACGTCCCCATCATCCCGAAATGACTGCTGCATAGTTGACTATGTGGCAAATATAATGTGCCGAGTTGAACAAATAACTGAACTATGCGTACAACCGACGACTTTGAAATATTGAAATGAGAGTGCAACTTGATACAAAGTTATGCAAAGAATTCGACTTTTATGTCACAATGGTGAGGATAAGTTAAGAAAGTATATGAAATTTAGTAAGCCCATGAGAGAATGACACCATGACAAAATAATGTCCTCCCGTCCACATCCATACCACTTCGTCCAAGGCTTCTCTGCTGGGTCTAGGAATTTGGCAATCCAATCCAATACGTACATATCAACATTTCTTTGCACAACTCGTCTCATTCCCATTTGCAAATCCATGTCTTCCACCAGGCGTTCCTTCCACCATTGATGTAGCAATTGAATCCCGTTCAACTCCTCGCAATGAGATGAGACGACGACAAGAAATGAGAATTTATTTTTACAAAGAACAATCAAGCCGATGGGACACTGGTGGCTTCTTCGTTATTATTATTATTCTTCTGGTTTTGTGTGAGAGGAGGAAGCGTCGTCGTCGTCGTCGAAGCGGATTACAGGGAGGGAGAGAAGATAGCATGCAGGCAACAGCAGCAGATCGTTCGTGGCAGCAGCTGCCTTTCTACATAACACCAACGCGCCTTGACTGAGTGGATGGAAATTTGTAGTTCTATTTCAACAACTTTGGCATGATTTGTTAAAGTGCCTTTCTCCGTATTTGCTATGCAAAACCAGCTGAAGGGAGGCCTGCTTAAACAAATTCAATGTTGAATTGAAAATAATTTGACTCTGCACAAGCTCATCTTTGAGAATTATTCAAATGCAGTTGAAAATGAGATCCCTGATGGATCTAATCAATTATATACTAATCGTGATCGCGGTTAAGAAATTGCCACTCAACCCACTTTGTTCCATCTAATTGCATGCATACATAATATATATTAGGTGTGCAGACATATACACATACACATATTTGTTAATACATGCATTGTAATACTGAGGATGAGCGCCAGCAGAATGGTCGCTAATACCGATCGAAGAAATGAGCTATATTGTTATTATTGAATAATATGATATGACATCGAGAACCAAGTGCTCATTCCTGGGCTTTGGTACATAATATAACTTGTTGGGTTCGTGACAGAGCCATTATTGCTTCTTATTTTGTATTAATTTCTGCTCTGTTTGTTCTGTATTGTGGTTTGGAGTTGACTGTTCTCTGGTACATACGTTTCTTGTATAGGTGGTCCTTCACATTGATGCTATATATTCTGTCCATGCTCTCCAAAGTTTCTTATTCTTCGAGTGATATATGAGGACAGGCGGTAAGAAAGTAGTGGAAATGTATCCCACAACTCATCAGTTTCCACCACCAACTTTCCACAAAGCAAGACGAATTTATCATAGTTTGAATTATGATACCTCGTATAGATACACCAAATGCACGTATCTCCTCAAGACCTAAGACCCAAAGTGGAGTGTAAAAGAAGTTGACTGAGGCAAACATCTTATGGCGATATGGAGTCCTTCCTTGCAATAAGTAACGCCTTGCACACTATGTCATTCGTCCACATACCTCTGAAACACAACTTGCAACTCAACTTGTCGACCGGGACTATGTAGGCTTGGTCTCGCCTGTTTGTAGTCTGTATACGAGAGAGAAAGCAGAGTCCTCGAGTCAAGAAGTGAGTGCTCTTATGGCAAAATAATAGAATGATTCGAGAGTTTCGCCAACAAAACCAGTTTATACAAAAGTCACAGTTTATAAGTTTGCGTATAAGAAACGGTGCTGTTAATTGAATGATCAAAGAACTGTGCTCTGGTCTAGAAAATAGAGTTTGTTGGTGTACCACATATGTTGTCATCATCATCATCCAAAGGTCTTTTGTCTTCCTCTCGACTGATTCATTTCCTCACTCACTTTCCTTGCTCTCTGAGTTGCAGCCATGACTTTTTGTTGTTCCGAGCCACACATCTCTCCTGCCATTCTCATCTCCCATAATAACCTTCAACTTTCAACTGCAAATGCTGAAACCCACCAGATTTGTTATTGAAATGACAGTTGACTTGTGTCGCCGGTGGTGTCAACCTAAACTACTTACCTATGTAAATGTATATATGTACTACTTACATTGGGCTATATATATGTATATGTGTATATGCGTAGTCAAAATCTGGATATGACGAAGCAAGTGGAGGCAAAGTTTACTCAGAAACACAATACCACTCCGTTACGGTTTGAACATCAGAGAAAGTTGGATGGGTTTCAGACTTGAGGCTGATGGGCTCGTGGTTAAAGGCGAGCCGAGCAATGCAATGCTACACTAATTCTAATTATGCACACGTAAATATAAAGTAAAAGCCACCTGCATTTCATATTGCTTAGAAAGTATCCATCCACCACCGTCAGATATAGTCTTACTGCCTGCAGATTTATGCCATACAACGAAGCGGAAATAAGTGACATGATTAATGTTTCAGTTTCACTTTCGGAGAGCCGTGTTGTTTCTGGTATGTATATTAAACTATATGTACGTGCATGCATACATCCTTTCGAACGAGCTGTCACAAATAATTCAAAGCTATGCAAAATGACACTTGTGTTCCACTTGAAGCCAGAGCAGGTTTATAGACAAAGTTGCCACCATAAGATCCGTGATATCCTCTCAAACAAGCCTAAACACAAGTGTCATCACGAATATATACAATCCAATATTAATTCTGCTGTTGGGTCGTATTCAATCTAATCACTCTATTCTTCATACGCATTGAACAGAGTACAAACACGCTAAAGGACTGTTGAACAGTATTGTTCGTTTGTTTTTGGCAAGTATAGTAAATCGTGGGATTAATTGTGATTGTAATTGGCGAGCTGTAAGCCGGCTACTTTAGCTCGTTGACTCGTTTTGGTGTCTCACACACATGCACTAACCAGCCAAACTAATCTCTCTTTCCTCCATTCATTGTGATTCCTGATTGTGACTGACATCGAAATCGAAAGTCAGAGTTGAACTTGAACTTGAACTGCTGCAGGCTACCATGCATTACGTACATGCATATACAAATCAGCCACTCAATATTATGCATGTCTCATCAACGAAAGAATACATATTTTTATTTTTATGTGATTTCTAAACTATGGACTAAACAATATGTAGATACGTGTTAATATAAAGAATAAACAAATATTAGACGATGCACCCAAGTCTGCCGCTGTCTTTTGCCACATTGAAACACAGGATAGCTGTAGTACAAAATAATAACTAGTAAATATGCATATGTACATACATACATGGACATGCTTAGAAATAGTGCACAAGTTATAACTCTGCGCACTTTACTGTGCATCAAGTAGTGTAATGGTCACGAGGTGAATTATTTATTAAGAAAATCCCCAAAGTAGTGTGAGCAGAATAAAAAGTTCAACTCGATCGCATTGTGCACAGCGCACATATATGTTTAAAATATCACTTTGGTTCATTAGACAGTTAAATGCAGTATAGTTGACATGTAGTTTGGGTCATTCCACTTGCTTTTGAATTCATTCTATCAAAATGTCTCTATCAAAGTGGTTCCCCATTTGTTTGGTCCTGCTTGCATTCACGCTGGGGGCAGCGCAAGCTGCCGGAATGCTATCAGCCTCATCGAGAGCAGCAGCAAAAACCAAGTAAGTCACAAGTTCCAGAAAGTACATATTTCAATGTGACGGGTTAAAGTAGACCAAAGCAAAGCCAAAATCTGGAAAACAATTTTTTAAGTCGGTTGGTAGAAAGCCAGAGTATAGGAAAACTCCAAGTATTTTCTTCGCAGGGCAACCCACTCCTCGTGTGGATGCCCAGCCCATGGACATACAGTAGTTGTACGTAGTCGTAGTGAGTGTTTGAGCACAGCGGATTTCTATTAAATAGATCAAGTTTTCATTTCATAAACTCAATTCCACTTCCGTGAGTCCGAGAAAGATGTGAGTGCACAAACCAAGGAACCAACCAGCCAAGCAGGGCCTATCTCTTCGACTTAAGATCAGAGCCATGTTGGTGCAATGTACCAAAGTGGAAAAGATAGTGGTCACAAGAAATTGAGACGATAGGATTTTGCGGGTTTCAAAATAAAAACGTCACATTCGCACCGCCTCGTTATAATAAGATTCTACCGACAATGATATATAGTACTGCATCATTCTGGTGATTCTGGTCGTGGTAGCGTGGTGGTTCCTTGGGCCATATGCTAAGCATTCACCGTATGACACACATTAGCATATTGCTACACTATGTAATGTCGTAAGTAAGAATGTTTCACTTGGGCAGTGAATGGGAAGAAACATAAGCCATTTAAATGCTTAATTTTGTTGATTACGGTCTGTTTGTTAGAACAGAACTATGCCCCGAAATGGCTGCGAAAAGCACTTACGAAATGTGGAGTACGAGATACGACAACAAAACAAAAGTGTGTTACAAAACTGGGACTAAGGGCCCTTGCGGAAATAATATGATATTTTACGCTGTAAGCGACGATCCCGTGTACGGAGAGTGTGATTGTAAGGCAAACTCAAATTTATCCAATACTGGTGTCAATGTACATGCATGTAAAATGAAATATAAATGTATTTACATGTCCTATTATTTACTAGGCAATTATGAAATCTGTCGTTCCATGATCTACTCTCGTGAGTATGACGAGTGCTTTGAAGCTTTTCAGCAAGGTAATACAACAACAATAAGGGATTTACAGAGCAAACATACGTGCATATCACTAGTCTCCTCTCCCTCACTTTCCCTCACTTTCTCTCACGTCTGATTAATTTGCTGGGCAACAACCATGTAGACGCTGCCATATTCTCATTATTCTCTCCAAATCCCAAAGCATGTCTCGCACCATCAGAAATAGTAGTTGCAGCTTTCAAGAATTACCAAGAATTATGTGTGTACATTATGCATGTATGTAGCTAGGCATGCAAGCCAAATTATCGTTCGCATCATCATCATCATTGCTCCGAGAGTTTCACAAGTCCATTCGCTTGGACTTTTAATCTCGACATTTCTTCGCTTTACTAATACTAATAAGTGAAATGACGAGAGCATCTTGTTAGTAAAAGTTATGGTGGTAAATGTTGTAGCATATCGAACTTTCTCTTGAATTAAAATTACATATTCATGTAAATTTTGCTCATTAATTTGACGCAAGTTGGAAATATCACGAAAGCTTAATGAAGTCTTTGCAAGCAAGCAAGTCTTTCCTTGATGCCGTGATGTTCTGTTTCCTCCTCTTCTTCCTTTCTGCTCCTCTCTGCTCACTAGTCACTAGTAGTTCTCCACTTGTACAACTTTTGGAACATGAACCATCAAAAGAAGGGAATGGACAGTCAAGAACAAGGCTCCCTTATACATAATACTAAAGAATAGTGAAACATAACAGGAGCACATGTTGCAGTTTATGGGAGATCGAGTCTAGAGAAAATGAACTTCAAGATCCCTTCATAAATTGGCATGGTAGCAGCAGCAGTCCAAAAAATTATGGTGACAGAACAGATGCTAGTGCTAGTCGACTTCCTGGCTCACTCTAATTTCTCAGTTATTCTTTTCGAGGCTATTAGATTGCCCCCACTCCCTCCCTGCCTGCCTCCCTGTCTCATTCTCAACTCCTTTCCCCGTCCATTCCAAGAACTTTCATTTTATTTTCTTGTGAACTTTTTAGAAGGGAAGCAGAGAGAGGTTTTAGACCTCCACTCACTTTCCTGTTCATTTTAAAAGGCATACATCTAGGACCACGAATGCTGCTTTAGAACTTGTTTGTACTCAACACCAGCTCCATTCCCCCTTATATTATTTTTTACAGTGGCACACCTCAAAAGAAAATTGAGTTCAAAGTAGGACATCCGCAAATTTATTTCCTTTTCTCTTGCTTTCTTTCCACCTCTGCATATGGAGCCCTACTTTTGAGAACAATAGAAAAAAGACCATCCTGTTGGGTCAGAGAGTATAAGAAAAAGACAAAAGCAGTGCCCAATAAAAAAAACACAATTGACCAGAAATAATTTGTTTAATCAGAAGAGACAAATTTGAAAAACCTGCGGTAGGCAAAGTCTAACCGACAACAACATGACAACCTTGTAATTTCTGTAACTTTAAGCATATGAGAAAAAGTTACACAAACGGGCATGACACACACACCACCACTGTGTGCACATTAGATTGTACGGCACACACAGCTTTCTCTGGCTCCAAGAGTTACCTATATATTTATGCTTGTCAAGCTGTGGTGACTTTTTGCTGGGTTAAAAGTTGGGCCACTTTCTTTACCATCTAACCACTTTCATGTTCTTTCTCTTGGTAGTAAATTACGGCAAATGTGTCAAATGCAAATTATCTGATTTAAAAAGGTAATAAATAAATGCAGTGGAATTTTTATTTGTTGCAACACCAACTTACTAGGACATTGCCCAGCTTCAGAGTGGTTAGTAGCAGATAAAAATGGCCAGCCAGTTTGTGAGAGAAATTTATGCTTGCCACCCCCTAAATATTCTTCAAAGGTAAGTTCATTATTTTTAAAAAAACCTGAAATTCAGTCAATGATTAAATAATATTTGGTAATATTTATTTTGCAGTATCAATGGGCTCTGTACAAAGGACGTTGTGAACGATTATATAAGCCGATTCATGACTGCAAGCCTGACGAGTATTTATGGGTTCCCAAAGTAGTTTTTTTTATATAACTTGATTTTGTTTTTCATATTGTAAGGAGAAAGTTATATGAGAGTGGTTTCTTACAGGGTCATCGTTACCCGGTGTGCGGGAAAGCTGAATGTACGAATCCGCACACGTTTGTTCCAGAGCTGCAATGTGAGCTTGGCAGTCGCTTGTATGATCAGGGGCGATGTATTCGACGAAAGGGAATTTAATTTAAAAACAGCGGCGCTACACACCGTACAAACAAATTTTAATTGCACTGAAAGCTTTCTCCTATTAACTTAGTCTCGCACATCGATGCACACTCCTCCGCATATTACTCCAAACAAGAGCCCCATCCTCAATGGCTTCTTACACAAGGCATTCCATCATCATCACCAAGTGGGCTATATACATTATGTAATTTGAGAACTTCCAAAACCAGCCACATAAGACGATTGCTTTGGCCTTTGTGAAACTAATCATTGCGATTCTGCATAACAGATTTGCCTAGGAGGCATTACAATGCCGACACCTTTTGTTTCACTCATACGCTTTTATTTATTCTTCAAACTTGTATCTGTATAGAACATGAGTAGTAATGAAGCCATCAAGTGAGGTAAAATATATCAGTGTTCAACAATAAAAAATATAGCAAGTAATTGACAACTTTTAAAATGCATATTTGTATTAATTGTATATCCATTATTATCATGCATAATAATAGCATCGCATTTTACGCGGAGCTTCAATTAGATGTGGTCTGAAATTTGAGGAATGTTTAAAGAGAAAGTCGAGAAAGTTGAAGATCATTTAAAATAAAGCAGCCAAACATTACTTGTTAGCGGTAATTCTTACAAATTTGGGTTATTTACAGAAAGTAAAGTTGTCGATAATGTCGCATGATTAGTTTGTCTGGTAAAGTCTTCGAAAATGTTCACCCAATTCGGCACCTTTAAACATCAAATTGCCTAAGACTGTTTTTATACTTTTATAAAAACAGTCGGTTCTTATAACTAAAGTTTCGAGTTTATTATAGCGTCCCTTTGCGAGCCCACGTTCCATTCTACCCCAAAGAGAAAGCTGAGTCGGATGACTGATGATGGTTGTAAAGCTAGTGAACCTCATAAAATTGTGTGTAGCAGTACCAGCGGTTTAGCCTTGCTCAAAATAGTTGTTTTTAAAATTGTCAAGCAAGATAACAACGCTCTTGGATGGGAATATTGCACACGCAACAAATTAAATTTGACATTCTGCTTTCCCCAGATTATTAGTGTCACCTGGAATAGTACCTGAAAGAAAGGTCAACTATTGCAGCTCACTCACCACAGCCATTGAATTCGAGTGCAGATTGAGTTTGACACGAAGTGAGTACTACGATACCACGAACCTAGTTCTGCCATTACTTTCACCAGGCACTCTGATCAGAAATCAAGAACTTTTGGCTAGAATACAAAAACTCCATCAATATCTCTGAGCACATGCTATGTCAAAAAGGAAAGTATCGGGGCGTCTAACTACGCAATATTATATACAAGTCCTGAGCACTGACAAGGGAAACTTCCGAGGTGCCAGGACATGGTCGTGTCCAGGGTACCCACCATATATGTTTCTTAGAATCTCCTAGGACTCAAGATGAAGGATTTCGTATTTTCGAGCAAAACTCTTGACGAATTTCCTAACTTTTGAAATCCTGGACGGATTTTCAAAATTTTAGACCAAAGTCATGACAAAGAGTTCAACTTCCAAATGTCTGAAATTCTTTAAACAATTGTTTCAATTTTTTGGAAAATTTTGAGATTTTCTTAGACGTGGGGATTCGTCGAAAAAAAACTTAACAATATCTCAAAAATTAAAAATTTGCAACTTTTTAATTATTTCTTAAAATTTTGACCTTTGTGATCATATCTTAAGCACAAAATTTTGAAAATCTCACGGAAACTTCAGAAGTTATGGAGGTTTGAAATTGGTCTAAAACACGGATTTTTACCGTTGTCCTCAACGATCAGATCCTCAAGATTTTATAAAATCCGACTGGGTTCATAAATATGGCCAAGAATTTTCGATTTCGGACCAGCGTGCTCACTAAAGTTACCTCGAAGCAGCAGGCGTGGTATACGAAGCTAATTCTGCATCTCCTTAGTCTTGCATATGGTGTATGGTAAAGATTGTCAAAAAGGAAGGAAAGTTTAGAAAACCATTAGGTCAGGTTAAAATGAATTCTGGGAACCCATGTAAAAGTTGATGAGAAGTTTTGCGGGTTTGTGTCTTTTCCCAGAGTACTGGAAGAGTAGCAAAAGGGTGGCAAAGTCACGTATGCGTTCAAATTTATATATGTGCGAGAGGGAACAGCAAGTAAAACCACCGACCGAAAGATCTTATTGGTCTGGGCTCCCTCCAGTATATGAAGGAGCTTATGGCCCTATTTTCATGTAAATCCTTTATCTCGATGTCTTGTGTGTGAAAGCATAAAGGCTTAAGTGTGACATTTACATAATTGAATTTACTTGATAGATGGCAAAAATATAATCTTCCGTCTTTTAACAGGGCCAAACGTTTCGCTCGTTCAAATATTCAATTGCGACTCATTCAGAGCTTCCTGATACACATGTTATTGCGTTATCAAGATTACATACGATTTTCGTTTGTACAAGATTTGCTAGATTTATTTCTCCACCTTACTTGAGATTTATTCCATTCAACGCAATTCCTCGCTTGTCTTCAATATTACATAACTCAGTGCACATGTACTACAAATGTAGAAGAAAAGTTGAATGAAACTGTTCCATCATCGGGTGATTGAGGGGCAACTGTTTCAGACTTTGTGGCATGTGCCACTTGTAACCGACGTGAGAAATTAGTAAATACTTTTGACCACTGCAATTTCGAGTGTAATACAAGCACAAAATGTGTTACTTGGAGCTCACAATTTTGTACATTAAATATGACTGTATAAAAATTCGATTTAAAGCACCAGGCAATATTTATTAACAACTGCCAACCACCGAAGAAAGTGGTATCGCAAAAATGACATGTAGTACTAAAAGAATGTGTCCGCGTATAGGGTGGCAGCTCACGTGTGAGTAGGAAATATCATGACCTTTCGCATCAAACATACAATTCCACACTAATTTACAGCATGTAGCGATAAGAATAAAGTGGTGTTGATGAATTGGCTCTACAACTGGTATTTTTGCTGGCTGTATCAGCACAGTGGGGAATCACACATAGGCTTCTTTGTTATATACTTTATTTGCATGTACGAGTGCAGTCTATTCAACTGCAGTAATTGCATGGCCAGGGCGTGACACAATTTTTTCCGCAGTTTGCTCCCCGTTCTTTCAAAGGAATCAATTGTACACATGTAGTGCACTGCTTTACGCAAATAAATTCCATGTTTCTTTATTATACGACTAAATGGCACGGCACTCTTATATAAGTAGGAGTACTGTGCACTAAATCTCAGGCCAAGAACGGGTAAATGTCACAAAAAGGCAGGGTTGAAGCATATAATTATTCATTAGATTGCCCTGAATATTATTTACGGTATTACGTGACGACCAAGGAAGCAGAAATTGTTCCATTTTTCAAGAAATATTTCAAGGTATTTGTTGGAGGTGTTTAAGATTTGGGCCCTTAAACAGGAAGTTTTCTAGGCGTTAGTAGTAGTGGTAGTAGAAAGTAGTAAATGTCGCTATTCAAGGTGACTTTCAGATTAATTTTTCCAGTGCCTACCAGTGAATCCCCTTGCTGACTCTGGTGGAAGTGTTTTTGGCCCTTTTTCAGCTCTGCAAATTGGACTTTTCTGATTCAGAGAGATCTTCTCCTGTGTCCAGGGTCTTGATCATTGTCAGCTGCAGTCCCAATGGGTCTTCCGCTATCTTCGGTGCTTGCTGTAGCGTTACGGAGGAGGTCTGTACGCAGAAGAGAGAGGCGTTCAAAGGCCTTGTATTAGGCGGAATAATAAGCCAGCAAAGAGAAATGTTTCGTACATGTAGGAGCGGAATCTGGCAAACGAAATATAAACGGAAAAACATTGTTATTCTCTGCGAGCTTCTTTATTAACTTCTCTTGCAGCAAGGGTGTGACTTCATTTGACTTCTTGAGCAGACTTTGTCCTGCATACACATACATACACACAGTCACTTTGCTAAACTTGACACGACCATATCTAAGGTGGTTGACACTTAATTTACGTGAGTTGAGACATAAAACATACATACATAGCATGACTCCAGTCACTTCAAAGCTCCCTTTGTCTCCAGCTTAGCCCATTAGTTGCAACAACTCATTTATCAACCCACCAACACAACTAAGTACATTCATTCGTGCCTATGTTCGTTCCACAACCTCTTTATCTATCTTATCTTATCATTCTTGTTGAGGAAATGGATTAAACCCATGTTTTTCTCAACTTTTTTGATTTCTTTGCTACAGAAAAGCCACGTAATTCTCATCTGGACACAAATAAAATCAATAAGTTACTCACATAGAATTATAGCATTGAAAACAAGTTATGAATTAGTTTATGTACTTAGGAAAACTAAAATTGCTAAGAAAGACTAGTCAACACACGTCTTAGGCAGTTCTAGAGAAATAATATTAAGAGATATTCAACTAATTTTATCGACTGTTTGAAAATACTTAATTGTTTATTTTAAACGCTTCCATTTGCAGGAGCTACATATTTGAGTTTGTAGTTTTAGCTAGTAACAATCGCAGATGCATGATAAGACCAAATTCATTTTACCAGCAGCGAGATAAATCGGATTAGGAAGCAGATTCTTGGACGACAAAAGAAAAATCAAGTGTCAATCCCAACGATACCTATGCGACTAAATATTGTATTGTATTGTACAAATTGCTTCCAATCAAACCCATATCCACAGAGTTAAGCAGGGAGTTAAGACTGAAAGAAGCATGCACTGTTTACCAACAAGCTTCCTGCCAAGTTCTCTGTGGAATAAGAATCAGAAAATGAAGCAATGGCTGGTTTAAAATCCTTTGTGTTGTTGGCATTCCAGATCTCGGCTACTTTCTCCAACAGACGTGTAGTAAAGTAAAAACAGAGCACACGGGAGAGCAGATCAGCAGCAGCAGCATCTTTTTGTACTTTACACCGGACGAGTGATGGTGGTGGTGGTGGAGCTAAGCTAAAGCAATTTTAAGAATTTTTCGCAGCGACGATTTCCCATTTTCTGTTCTGTTCTTGAGTTTTGCACTCCACTTGCTCTGTTGTGAGCTGCCTCGTGCTGCTGCTGTAAAGCAATTTTGGCTTGAGAGAGGAGAATAAAAAGGCGCTGTGGTGGGCTCGTCAGAGGTAGTTTGGCTGGTGGTAACTGGGTTATTCGTTAATGCGAGGAGAATGACATTTACAGATGTGGACCAATGCCAAGTTATTTCGAGTATGAATCTGAATCCAAGACATTAAAATGCTAACGATGGAATTTAAAACTTGGACGTGGCCAATCCCCAGCGATTTAATCTGGTCGCAATGGGCAGATCAATTGATTAGGCTGGATTAAATGGGCTTTCATGAGCTTCCAAAGTATCACACTGACAGTATTATCCAATCTGGCTCCCACTTCCTACTTGCTGCAGTTGTAGCGTGGGACGCCTAGATAAATACCTGACTACGACCATTCGCCCTACACCAATAATAATAATAACAGATACTCTTGGTAAAGAGGTACGAAGAGACGTTCAACATCATCACGAACGTCAAAGCACACCGTCGTCGTGACTTTTTTGCGGGGGCAGAAAAGTTATTAACAATAAGATTGCTGGGATGGAATGAGTCTCGAAGAAGAATAAGTTGGTGGTTAGTAAGCCAGTCACAAAGATCCACATTTCTCTCATCTGATAACAAGCTAACATGACACAAGAGATAGATTTCAAACTTTGTTCGTTGTAGATAACTCATCCGAAGAATGACGATTCATCATACTCATACAAACAAGCACACACAACGCTCCCATTGATCAACAGGGATGGTTCCTACAGAAGGTGGGCATATCGCCATCCTCTCTCGTTCTGCCTCAAACTAACCAACTTTTACCACTCAGAAGAGTCGCAATCTTGGCATACCTTAAGAGCCGAACGTATATCGCCGCTGTAGATCCATAACCAGCCAAGTTGAAAACCAGTTGGAAGCATAAAATGCTAAGTTGAAAACCAGTTGGAACCATAACCTGCCAAGTCTGTTTTCGTAATTTTTCAGGAGAGCGAGAAAACCCGAACCACATGATTGTTGTTTGAAGGAATCGCAGTAATTGATTTTTGCACTGTTTAATGTTGAATGCAAATTTAAATTTCATCCAAACAATTTCAAATTTTACATGAACATGCATACATATATCCTTAATCATAATGTTGCATCAATTCCCGTTTCGATCGCTATAAATTTTCCAGGAAAAATATAAAACCAAATTTTTGACGGTTTTTGATTTTTCCTGAAAAATTTATAGCGATCGAAGCGGGAATTGATACCAGATTATGATTAACAATATATTTACGCATGTTCATGCCAAATTTGAAATTGTTTGGATGAAATTTAAATTTGCATTTAACGTTAAACAGTTCCTAGATCGCATAGATTAGCCATCTTGCCACGAGTTTTTAGAGCGAGAGAAAGCCAAATCTTGTAAATTTTATCAGTTTTTGAACTTTAATATCTCCGGAACTAGGTGGTCAATAATTTTTTTGAAAAAGCCATTTTATCGCTAGTTAAATGCCAAATTTTTATACACTAAAATCGCAATACACCCCAAAACAGACTTGGCAGGTTATGGTTCCAACTGGTTTTCAACTTGGCATTTTATGCTTCCAACTGGTTTTCAACTTGGCTGGTTATGGATCTACAGCGACGATATCATGTGTTGTGGTCATGGGGCGTGAAAAAATATGTGAATCCAAAAACCAAAACTTGTATTATGTAAGGCCATAAAAAAACAAGGTCCTTCCTTCCTGTTCGACTTATTCACTTGGTACAGTTTTCTTCAATACCTGTTCAACTGCTACCACCTGAACCACCAGGAAAAATACAACCCCAGCCGAAAGTTAGTTGTAAATATAAAATAAGTTTGAGGTTGGCTCGTGTGGAGAAACAGGCGATGAAATAAAATGGACAATGCGCTTTCCGATAAAGGCCCATCTTCTTGGCGTCTTAAACCTCACTCGGGCCTACTGAAAAATCTTTACCTTTTTTGGTGGTCGAAAATCACAACTGGCACGTGAATCCCAACGGTGTCATTTCATACCTGGCAACTAATTGGATTCTTCTATCCAAATAGGATTTCAAAACGCTCCCTGGACTTTACCCACTTTTTCTCCCGCACGCATCGTTTAGTTATTTATACATGACTCACGTATCAATCCGCAAACTTTTGACCAACCTCCGGGTATGTGGTTGTTTCAATTTTTGGGTGGAGATTGTTTTTTTCAATCGAAAAGAGATTTAGCAAACTATTACGAATATCTTAATTTATTGCCCTAATTACTGTTTGACACTTTACAATAATTAATTTCATATTACATGGCCGGATAATTTAAAGAAGCTAAACAACGGCAAAAACAATACCAGTGCTTGATTAGAGGATTCGCTTATGCATAACTTGTCATCAACGATTCCGATGATTGAGTAGGAAAAGTTGGGTTTGTGCGCTGTTGGTGGTGGTGGGAGTTCACTCTTTCTGTAGTTGCACACCGGAAAAGCTATACCACAGGAAAGTTGAAAGGCAAGTGTGGTGATAATGTAATTGGTTAAATCACTAATGTAATGTCGGTCACCGGAGCAAGCGTTTCGTGTCATGTAAACTGAAATGCCAAGATGAGAATGAAAGCCGTCCGCTCGTTATCAGATTCTACCTCGAACTGTTTAATAATTAAGGAAAAACTGTCATTAGAATTCCGTAAGGGCCACTCTCGACGTCCTCTGCGGAATGAATTGAGGTAAGTCGGCATAGAAAATGCATGAACAGTGAAAAGTTCTTAACGGTCTAGGACAGTTTTCCTGTCTCTCTAGCACCACACACACCGCACAGCAAACAGCAGCAGATTCACAGTGCCGAACGAAAACTCAATCTTCAAATGAAGGGCACTTGTATTTCTATTTTTGCCGTAACTTTATTCATCTAGTGATGCATTTTGACTCATCAGCACCGTTCCATCATTTACGAAAATCACAAAGTTTGATACCACAAAGCTGAAATAATTTACTGTATTTGAACTTGTTACTTTTGACAGTATCATCTAACCCGGCATGTATTGCGACAAGTTATGCGTATATGTATACCGGGGGTAGTAAGTATTTAAAGTATATCTAAACAAGTATGTAACAATTATGGATGAGTATAGAAATTTTATTTCTTTTGTGCTTGTCATGTATTTTTAGCAAACGACAGGCATGTGTATCGCATTAAACCACAATTTGTTATGCAAATCTAAAAGTTGCAAAGATTTAAGCTGGCCTGAAACTTGATCCTTAATCCTGACAACCCAAAGGCTTAAACATCTATCGTACTTTTCTTGTGCAAAATATTTTAAAGGAAATCAACAACATTCGTCCCGATATTATTATTTTTTATTGTTCGAATTCGCTGAAAGAGTTGTCGAATACACAACATATGGAAAAGTGTTCTATTTTCTCCACCGCGTCAGAAGCAAATCATAGCCAGTCGGTTACAATTTAGCCAATTCCAACGGAACTCATAACAGTACCAGATGCCAAGGAGCGGAGAGTGGAAGATTGCAACGAAATGATGACCAAATGAAGGGGCAATGAGGCTATATATAAGAGTGACAATGGATAAAAAATGATTCTCGGTCGTGACTTCTTTGGTGAGATCATTGTTGCACAGAAGAAGCACCGTCTCGCTACTTTGTACCCAAGTCAGGACACAATGAGGACTGATTTTTATTCAATAGTTTTAACCTCCACGTTGGTTCTCGTCGTAAATTGCTTCAACTTGGACAGAGAGTTACAGAACTTTGATCAATCTCTTTTGGAAACTAAGAGTAATGAAAGGTCTTCCAAATGTAAGCCTCCAGAATTTTTATTGTCTCGGAAGAATTATTCGAGTGGAAATATTAAGAAAGTTGACTTAATTCCTCGTCCGCAGTGTTCCCTCTATTCTCAGTTCTGATCCGGAACGTACAGTGTTTGCCAGAGGCAAGTGAAAACGTTGCAGGAACGTGTTCAACCAAGTTAGTAAAAATTCCAACTTCTCTGCAAATTCGCGAGATTTGATAAGTTTTTTATAACTAGAAAAAGTTTACACGTTTTTTATGTTCTATTTTAGCTCGCAGTGCAGGAACAGTGGGGGTGTGGCTTCTGGTAACAAAATTTTTTACCATTAAAATAGCCTGCACGACGACGATGTTTGACTCCACATATCATTTCTAAAATAATTGCTTATTTTTTCCAGGTGCCTGCGCCAACGGATTTGGTAAGACTGCAATATTTAAGGCTAATTTGGCATATTTACAGTTAACCGAATCTCTTTCCGTATCTTTTCAATATTACAGGAGTATGCTGTGTAGGTAAGCCATTGATCTTGAGTTGTTAGTCAAACAAGTAAGAACAAAAGCGACAAAAGTCGTCACTCTCGTCGTCTCAACTGCGTGATGGAAGAAGTTTGAAGTTTGATGCGACTTGGTTAAATCGCCCCATCTAAAAAAACCTAGTTTTTTCACTCCCATTACTCGTGGAGAAAGAAAGGAAAGAAACTCGTTTTATACTTTTTTTCCTCTTCTCGAATTCCGCACATGTGAGAAGAGTCGAGAACTTGCGATGGTAAATATCTCTCAGCGGAGCTGTAGACTCCCATTTGGACTGCACACAAAGGGCACCTAACCTCTCAATCGGGTCATAACAAAGGGAACTATTGGCTAATTAATACTCTCCTACTGGATAATAAACAAATAACCCTCTCGCTTTATTTAGCCACAACAGATTTCCAGTTAATTTGATTTGCAAAGAAGATACTCTTTTACTAGACCCATGTCTGCTTTCAATGTGAAAAAAGCCAAGAGCAAAAGACATTGATTCAATGATTGGCTAATTTTATTAGATTAACTGTTTCCCACTGGTTTTCCAAAAAGCCTGAGCTGGCCTTTATATGAAAGACTGGTGCATAGCGAACCAATGGTTGAGACTATTGTGAGTGAAAGCAAACGAATGTAGGCCAGGGAAATCAAATCATTAAATGAGATGTGGATGGACCTATAAGTAGGTTTAGTAATCATTGCAGGAAAATGTCGCCTGAGTTTGTGGAGATTTTATGTTTTCTGCTTTCACTAAAACACAGATTGTATTTAAGTGAGATGAAAGACTATGATGTACAATTTGCATAAAGTCAGGTATATTAAAGAATAGCATGTTTTCATATTCACTTACAATTAGTTTCATGGGAAATAAGGATTACATTTGTTTATGACTGCAATGTGGAATATTCTCCTTATTCGTTAACATGTATATTATATCATAATCATTACTATATAACATAATTGCATCATTGCTGCATTTTTAAGTCACTTACAGTTGTGAGGATTCTGCAAGACAAAATAACAGCAACTTTAGAAACCGAGACTATCCCAGCGGATTTAATCCAACCGGATTGGAAGTATGCAATTTGAGGATACAAAAAGTGAGCATCATGAAAATCCATTTAATGATTTTGATAAATTCACTCCAACAACAATTAACATATATTTTCTCAAATTTTCCTATTGATTTTTTAGCCTTCCTCAAATGTTTGTCAGATAAGATTAGACTTTACAAACATGCAGTTAGCCGCTGGTACTACTCAATTCTCAAGTAGATGCGTAATTACTGGAGTGGTTGCACATGAACACTTTCTTTCTGGTTTTTCTTAGCCGACCCAATCACAGGGCAATGTATGAATGACAGGCTTAGCATTAACGGGGTATCTGGAACAGTGCCTTCCAACTTGTGTGGAGATCTTTCTCAACAACACAGTAAGTAGCTATTAAAACATATTGAATTCGTTACCCAATTGTCCACACCCACTCCAATTCCCGATACTTGCCAACTAATCGGATTTCGGTCATCTTAACAAGCGCTGATCATATTAATCACCTGACCACACTTTTAGTTTTACTTTCTGGTTTGTAGTGTATTTGGATTATGGAAGCTCTGATCGCATTACTCTAAGCGTAATTACCGATGGAGGTGGCGTAGTACAAGCTCGTCAGTGGAATGTGAGATTGACCTATCTTGAATGCAATTCATTAAGTCGGGGTATACACAATTATTTTAATATCGGTACATGCTTATAATTTTCTTCATGTGCATTTGATTTTCACGATTTACTAGCTCCTGACGGCTGCCTCCAGTACTTCATGTCTGCGACAGTTAAGTTAAATGGCTGATGTGACATTATTTTTATGAATGAATGATCCATAAATATTACTAACTTAGCACAAAGTGTGATAAATGTTTACTGATTGTTTTAGGCGAAGTCAGGATGTTGGGTTATCCAATGAACGCTCATTTGGCAGATCTTGGTAAGTTTTGCATGTGTATTTATTTTCTCATATATGTACTTACATATTTCTATATCCATTCTTTAGATTACACAGTATGTGTCAGGTCGGAAGGTATGCAAAACGCCCTCATTAATTTATCCATTTACTAATTATATTTGACGTCAGTATAATATTAATAAATACAGACGGGGCCGGATCAATTGTGGTAAGGAAAATTGTTATGAAACAATTTCAACGTGTATACACATCTTCACCAGACATCAATCCTTATTGTGATTGAAATCACTCAATTTTAGTGGTCGCCTTGCCAAGGAGAACCCATAGCTTCAGGTATGTGCAAAAGCTATACGTGCATATGCAGTATACCATTCATTTTGATCCCACGATCGTCAATTTACTTTCTTATATATATATTTATACAGCTTTCTTAATGTCGGGTGCTCCCTTAACTGATCCAACGATGGGAACTCCTGTAAGTATCATCCACTTATAAATATTTTAGCTGCGAACATTTCTGGTGGAATTATTTACCTAACATCTTAGGCTGTCAATTTTGTAGGGAGCGTCTGGAGCCTGCTCGGCAGACTATGTTCTAATTATGACGGATGACCCACAAGCCACCCCTACCAAATTGGACGATAGATATTGCGGCAACGCGTTGGCAGCGTAATTTTTTGTAGAAATTTAGCTGATGCATTTGGAACATTTTTAAATTTTGCATATATTTATATGATTTCAGAATGATGCCTCCCTTCCTTGTGAGATGTAAGAATTGAATAAAGATCTCTTCGTGAGATTCATAGTAATTAGATTTTCTACTCATCCTAAGAGATGGGATTAATTTTGACGAAAAATCTTTCAGCAATTGCGAAACCCTTTATCATGCGCGTACGAACTGACAGTCTGGAGGATGCAGCCGACATGACCAACACTGGGTATGGTTTTATCAACATAAGTTCACATTTATACATTCTAAGCAAATTTCCTCATTTTATTTTTCCTTTCCGAAAAGTTTTTGCCTCGCATTTCGTCAAGAACCCCCACGGCCCCAAGCTGGGTAGAAAATGAGGGTGCGAACTGCAATAAGAAGACACCTCCTTTGAATGCTTACTTTGGTTTGATCGAATATTTGATCTAGACTTCCTCGCTCCTACCCAAGAGTTTATTTGGCAAATATTTACAAAAAGTCCTTATAACGATGGGATCCTGGAGTCTGTACGCCCTATTTTCTTAATTACCCCAGTCGTACCCAATTAGTAATCTGAATGAATAAATACACCGTTTTATTTGTTGATCAATAATATCTTAAAGATTCATAGGATGTGGCCAAGCGGCGAGGTGAACATTCATACAAACCATTGCTTTGCTTTCACTCATAATAACTTTTCCGTCTGTACACACACTCTTCCGAATAAATAAAGAGGGTTGCGAAATTCTGGAAACCTCAGGCCAAGGACGCGGTTAAGGAAAATTGTGAGTGCAGCGTTGTCTGTGGAACTCGGGAGGAACTCGACAAAACTTTCTCCTCTTTGAAATAGATGGCCCGAACTGCTCTATTCGTTTCCTTTGTTAAATGGATCAGATATGAATATATTTATCCAGACAAGGTTTTATTTCCAGCATTCAGTTCAAAGTTGATACTCTTTTATCTCATTTATTTTTAAATAATCCTGGCATAACTTTTAAGCATGAGTATTAAAGGTACTAAATTATGTGGTATATATATAACGCAATATTAATGTGATGATTAACACATACGGTAGTTGCGTCATCACCCATGTATGTGCATAAATAGGCAGGTTACAATTAAAATATGATTCACTCAGATTGCACACACGACGGCTTGCTGTCTGGAGTACAATTTCAAACGAGATGTCAAGTTGTCTTACGTATTCACGCGTAAATTGAGATGAAAGGTGGGCACTGGAACGACCAACCTGTCAATAAAGGTCTGAGCTTGTTAGGCCAATTGGATGGCGATGAGTTATGAGACGAGTAAGCTTACATACTTAAGTATCGATGCAATAGGACACGAACGCCCACACAGAATATTCTTAAGGATTGAATGAAAATGTCTCATGCGAGGGCATAACCACGCAGTTTCCAGGCTCATCATCATAAAGTATCATGTCAACAAGTATTAAGGATTAGGAGCACAGTCTAAGGAATTTATGTTTCTGTCCAGATTGGAGTTGGAGTTGAATTTAATATGCTTGAATTTGAATCATCGACACATTCGTGGTCTTATAAAAGGGAAATCATGCCAATGCTCAGTACACTTGCAACCAGAAATCCTTTGCTGTCACGCCTTATTCCATATTTACATAGTCTTCTAAGAGTACCCGTTTAGATAAATTTTGAGTACTTTTCAAGGTCTGCGCACAATTCCTCCGGATTTTCATTTTCAAAACATCTCACAACCGCATAATCAGCCAAAATCGTATTAAATCCCTACAATGCATTCCAAAATTGTCATCTTTCTTGTTTTACTTGGGATTGGTTTAAATGTGAGCGCATATCCAAATTTCCAAGCTAATGAGGATGGGACCATATCAGGATTCTTAGAAGCAGAAGATTATGGTAAAGAGTGCGAATCGTCTTTTTATACGAATTACATAATAGTTAATGTTTGATAATTAATTTAACAAATTTTTAAACAACTTGAAAGATAACCTTGAAGATTCTTTGGGCCAATACCAAAAACGATTTTGGTCACCACACCCAAGTGACTACAACCCTCTAAGACGGTAATATTAGCGCAGTTTCAAAATCTACCACCATTTAAATAATTAATATAGTAACTAATCCTTTTTCAGGCCTGTTCCTGCTCCCCGTGGGTCAAAACGAGACGACGGGGTAGTGTATCACCCAATACCCAGAATAGTCACAATTAAACAGCAACGATCCAACGGCCATGTTGACGAATATCCAGAAAATGTTGAAATTTTTGAAGGTGAGTCGTAGAAGAACGTGAAAAAGTGGAATTAATTGCAATTTTTTAAAATTTATCTAGGAGGACGCCAGAAGAAGCAAACTCGTCCCACAACTTTGATCTTCAGATTAGGGTCTTGGGGACTTCGGGGTGGGCGGAAGCCCGACAAGAATACCGTTGGAGGCACGCAATCTCCGAGTACTTGAACAAATTCCACGAGTTAAATTATTATACAAAAAATATTGTACAACAGGATTGTATCACAATTACTGCTTCTTTTCTGAGACAGTGAGTCATAACTAATTCCAAATATTACGCATGTACATGTGAAAAACCATGTCTACGCAAGAAGTAATTTCCTTCAATTTGGAGACTTTAAAATATATTATTAACGCTAGTGTACGCTTTCTCTGCTTGATCCTATTCTGTGGTGGCGGTGGTGTTTCGATATTCGACCTACTTCGCACGATACCACAGTCACAATAAAATTTTAAAGCAAGGTCGGAACCTAAATTGATATTGTTCTTCTATATTCCACATCCAACCTCTTCGCTTATCAAATAATACTCATGTTCATACTCTCAACTACATGAAAGAAAAATAAAACTTTCAGAAGATTAGTAAACTTTTATCCAATTTGGACTTCCATGTATCTCTTGACGTGAGGCCGATAAAAATAAAAGGAGCAACGCATGTAAAATATCGAAAGGTGGACTACTGATGCGTGACGTGTGAGACTTTTGCTCTGCAAATGCATCTGTTGTTTCGATTTTTATACTAAAATTTGGTCAAGTATAAAGGAAAATAAAGCTTGATAAATTGCATATATAAAATTGACCACAGTTAAATGGCACAGCATGATTAATGTTAATTCTATATTAGCATTATAAGGCATATAAATCGCAATTTTTCGAGTTCATTTAATTTTCCAGACATTTATGATTGAATTCACCGTAGAAAGATTAGAAACAAGAAATTTGACGGAATTGTGTGCATAGATTGAGCCGTTCACTTGTAGAATAGTATTTAGATCCTTAGTTGCGGTAATCTGTTACGGGAATTACGGCAATAATCATATTGATCTCTGTCTTACAGTGAAAGTACGGTAATACATATGTTCAAGTGTTTGATGAGAAAATGAAGAGTTTAAAAATTTAGCAAGCCATTTAGGATTAAGAATGTCGAATGGGGCGAGATACCAACATCGCTACAGAGTCTCGTGGGTTTCCGAGTTTACCGGAGGTAAAAACTGAGACACTGTGAATCTGAGATCCTCGAGTAAGCACGCTACACTCTCTCGCGAGCTGCTTTCTCCGCCAGTGGTACACGCTCAAAGCCTTGTGAACTGCCCACGATCACTTTCACCACGAGCAAAAGTCAATCAGAAGACCATTTTTTACAGTTGTGAAATATCCAAACGTTACTTCCGGTCATGGGAAGAAATGGATGTTTTGGTTTCCATTACCCTCCCAGTGTCAAATTCGTCTTCTGCATCCTTCTCCTTTGGTCGATAATAACAGGTAATTGTACAAGAATAAGTTACAATAACGTCCATTAACTTTGGGTGAAAATGTGTAGCAGGCACGCGTATTTGGGGATAAATTAAAAGTTACAACTAAAAGTACATTCATCGATAGTTCATTTGTTAATACATATTTTGTGTCTCAAGATTTTACTGGGGTCCAACATGGCGTACAAGCTAATCCAGGTCTTTTAATTAAAGTTTAAATTAAAAATAAGGTCTAATATTCGGTTTTAAACAGATGCAAAAAGACTCTACGATGATTTACTCAGCAATTATAATCGACTCATACGACCCGTGTACAATAATTCGGATAAACTCACAGTGAGGTTAGGTCTCAAGCTCTCTCAACTTATTGATGTTGTAAGTTGCTTATAATACTAAACATTTAAATAGTTACTCTAAATATACATGTATAAATAGGATTTTGCATCGATTGCTATTGTGTAATGAATTATACGCTTGTTGTTGTGATATGAATATAACAAACAGTGTAATTTCTTACGCAAATTTCGTAGGTATCAAGATGCGTATACGTATGTACATATGTATGTACGCATCATGCCATTGTGTTTGTGTCCAAGTTATATTTTTCGGTAAAAATACAAGTGCCATAGAGCTATAATTCACACATATGCATATGTCCATAAATTTCCTCATTATTATGTCACATGATTCACAGAGACACAAATCTAGAACTACTAATAATAATAATAACACACTGATAATATGCATTACATATTTGTTGCAAATGCAACATAAAGAGTAGGTTCACATGCATACAGGAAATACGCGACTAATCACGTCATATTACTAACAGAGACATAATTGTCGATCCTTAAACGATGCAATACACAATATTGGTAATCTGGTATTCATGAGAATTATAATTTCAGCGTCAATGCACATTTCGATTACGGAAATAATTAGCAAGTTGTTTATAAGTTTGAACTTAAAAAGTTTATAACATGGTTTCATGAGCAGAATGTCTTCAAGTCGATAACGTTCTAATGTAAAGTTTGATATCTCCATCAGAAAGGACGATTTTTAGGAATACTATTTCCTCCTTACTTAAGCAATTTGATCTTATGCAGTCGGGAATCCAATTTTGAAAAGAATGACAAAGTCCTTTTTCGCCGTAGTCGCCACAAAGAGACGAGGTATTAAAACGGGCAACCTTTTTCATGTCGTCTGAAAATAATAGAAAAGAAAGTCGTCTCCAGCAGCAGATAGCATAAGAGACTTGGTTGTAAATGGAAACAGCTTTGCGACTACATTTGTAAATGTAGAAAGAAACCTAGAGCAGTGCACGGGATGGATTAGAGGAGAGGAACTTCGGATGGCATTGCATTGTATCCAGCACTTACAGTTCACCATACAGCAATTTTCACGGGTTCATTTTGATGGTCTTTCTAAAGTGTGACATTGGAGAACAAGCCTGAATTTAATAGCGGAAATACGACAGGGATAGAATGAATTTCGCTGGTCTTGTTTGAGCACAAATGTGTCGGGATCTTCCTAAGGCTGAAATATTATAAATATGCATTTCCTTCTCAAAATCCGGAAAATATTAGCGATATGTATGTTCGTCTCTAGTTTGCGGATCATCCTCCAAACTTTCTAGTTTTCTCATTCATTAATTATTCAATAAGACGCATTACAGTCGCAGGATAATCTAGTTTACGGCGAACATGTACGCATCTGAATTTTATTGTACGTACAGGAGAACTGTACATATATACATATGTACGTAGATGAAATAATCATCTCGATCCTGGGGAGCAATATTTCTAAAATTGATGCAAATCTGAATCCTACATATATTTTATTACTCTCGTAATTTTTACATAAAAAGATTGATGTCTTTCTCATTTCGGTATTTTTGTGACTTTTGTACATGAACAAGGGATTGATGCGCGAATATGAAATCAGTTCTAAAATATTTCAAATTCGCTCATTTAGAATAAAATACTACCAAATAAGGTCTCCTCAAGGAAGGTATACTTGTGGGTTATTTAGGTCAATCCGATTTTAGAGTTTCACATGAAAGCGAGCATTCTTAGCCATAATCATACTCAAGTAAATAATTGATCATCTTATTATCATTACTTAGCAGCTTATGATTATAAAACTTTAAACGATCTTTCCTCGTGTGAATTTATTTAGACCAAATTATGAGGTAAAGTTAGTATATGTAGAAAATTGTGTACGTACAATGCGTACTACGAAAACTCTTGAATTTATGTACTTTGAAATTTATATTTGTCCTGCGTTTGATTTACTACGAATTAATCTATGCAAATACTGGCATTTCTAACCCCAAACCATGACTAGGACCAACTTTGTATCCACTTTATCAGAAAATGTCAACTTTGGTCGAAAATCCGTACAAAAAACGTGTAAAAGTAATGTTTGGCAAAGTAGGTTGAAGCTGTGGCTTGTGTGAGTTTTATGTTGTTCTGGAGGAAATTGAATTTTATTCCGTCGTGGCGTTCCATGTTGTACGTATCGAAGGTGTAAAGCAGAAGAAGAGCAGGATGTTTCTGGTCTAGGTTTGATAATATTCAGTCTAGAAACCGGGAGGTGGAAAAGGAAAGCATGTAAAAAAAATTCAATACACTTTTCGTAGTAGCGAAGCAAATCATACCGGACTAGGACCCCATCTTGTCAACTTGTGCCGGAAATAAGATATCCACGGTGCTAGAGAAGGTTTTGGAATACAAAATTATGATTGATAAATATTCTCAATATGTCCTAAATACTATGTAGTATGCATATAATGTGTACATACGTGTATTTATGAGCAATACTTTAAATTAAATGTCTTGAAAAAGCGGAATATTAGGATTCATCGAGGATGAAGTACATAACATTTTTATGATAATGAGACGAATTTTGTGATACAATCTCTCACCCAACTCGTTTGTCAACAAATTCTCAACGATCTCAGGAAAATCGAGATCGTGTGGAACATCCAAGAAGAAAAAATATTTAACCTCATTATGGATTCCAAGAAGCACACGTTTAGGGCGGTGTGGTTGATGGGCAATAAAGCAAACAAATTATCGTCATATTTCAGATAGGAGGGTGAAAGTTGGAGAAAATTCGAGGCAAAACGAACTGCTAGCTTTCCATGCTTAAATACATACATACCGTCATGATGCCATCAAATCCCATTTGGTTACTCTCAGGCACTAATGATGTCACAAGGGACAATACTTCTGTATGGGCCTAAAATTTATGTACAGAAAGAAAAGTTGATTTTTAGCATAAAATCTTTCAGATCAAACTGAAAGATAGTAACGCGACACGTTAGAGTAGGACAGCAAGATAAATCAAATATCAATTCAATGTATTACATAGTGTAGTATTACATACGTATTAATATAATGCACGTTGGTGATGGTTATAGGTATTAATATAATGACAAGGATAGAGTAAATTGTACAGGTGCATAATAAGTTTTGCAGTCAACATACTGATTTTGAAAACAATTTTAGTTATAAAAATTACGCCTTGTTTGCATGCTATCTGATCTTTCGACTTCATCCCCCGAGACTTTGGCTACCTGAATCGTTTTTGTTGACTACACATGTCTGCTGCAGCCCGACAGGTTCAGGAACATTTACTGGGGTTTGACGACTGGAAGTTTTGGCTGCAAAATGACTATTTGCGTGAGTGTGGGAATGTTGAGAAAAACGTGTTACGAGTGCTAATGTTTGTTGGATTTTCCACCATTAATCTTACTGTGCAGTGCAGAGCTATCCATTACGGCATTTGGTTTTACTCCAACATGGCGAAATTCAGAAATTGTTACATTGTTGTTACAAAGCGTACCAAGCGGAAAAAATTTAATAAATTATATCTGAGAAAGAATGCTAATAATAGCTTTCTCAACGGAAGACGGGAGTTAGACAGGTTACGTGAATACAAATAGCTGTCACCCGTCAACCATGTCAACTCAGCGTGACTTTTTTGTATGAAAAGAATAGACGCTGGAGCTTCAGTTTACACAGGCCATTACAAAATGAATAATGAGCTATCGCCCATTACTCACGCCCTTTTAAAAAGCCAACCATCTGTGATTCATCATGCAATTTATTCACCAATATTTACTTTGCGTTATAAAAATGATGGGACAGTGAGATGATAATGATTGTGACTGTTGTACTTGTTTTTTCTTTAGCTTATCTACTTATTTTCAGAATTTGAAGAACCAGATCATGACCACCAACGTATGGCTTGAGCAAGTAAGTTTTTTTAACCCTACTAATTTTAATTTGACAACCCTTCAAGTGCAAAAATTAAATCCTTGCTTAATTGCGTGTACATGTATGGGCATCGAAATTTTGTCTGCTTTTCACCGACAAGACGCTTCCTATGACATGATCGCAGCATGTTCTGACTGATCGCAATTTAATACCGTGAAATTTCTATTATGACAATTTAAAAAATTGTGCAGCCAAATTGGTAAACTCGCATTAACCAATAGGCAGTAAGGTGCATGTGTAGCAGGAGTTTATGTATGTAGCAGTGCGGAGTCAAGTGGATTGGTTCGGTGAAAGAGAATCATTTCCATTTACTCTTCAGTTCGGATGTTGATTCTGATTGATTGGTCGTGAAAACCAGGAAGATAATGCGTCCTTTTACCACATTCATTACTTTCCTTGTCAATGGAATGGGATCAATTTTCGAGTCGGCTTAATGCTCTGCTGCTTCGATCGAAAAAGTTAATCAAAGTTTTTGCTCATTTCTAAGAGACTCTGGTCCCATTCTATTCTACAAAACCTTTATCTCTGATTAAATTTAATCTTGCCCCTCACCGTCCAGCAATGCAGGAGTAATTTTATTTGTGAAGAATTATTTCGATTAATTGGTCTTTAGCCAAGTGCATGTTGGGAGCTGGAAGGAGAAGCTATTGTCCAACATTGGGAATTCTGGACCAGAAAAATACTAGTCGAACTTCAAAGGTTTAAAGGCAATCAATTAATTGATCGTCAATGTTCCTTCGAGCATTCTTTCTCCAAGTGAAATCAGGCGAAAGCAAGAGATATGTATGTATGCACCTGGGGAGGGATAGAGCGATGGGAGAAAGGCAGCAGGAAGGAACCAGGTAGCAAAAGTGGAAATTTGTGTCTAGAATCTATTTACTTAAATGGAGGTGGTTTGGTGGATTTATTTTAAACTTATCAGAGCCCACCTTCCTGACGAGCGTGTGATGTTGCAAGTCCAATGCTGGAGAGAGGAAGTGGGAGAAAAGGTAGGAGATGGGCTGGAAAAAATATTGACCTGTTCTCACTGGCAACAGGGCCAATAACAGTCCATTTCAAGAAGCGAATGTCGAATGCGAGTGATGAAGATAAATGCAGGCTAAACATGAGAACGCTCCATTCATTTAGATGTTTGGACAAGCCTCGGCCAAGTGCAACATCTCCTTCACTTTTTGGCCTTTGTATGGGCAACAAAACTGTTTGAATCAACTGTCAGAAATGTAATACTTGACACGTACATGCTCTTTCATATCTGTATATCGTACCCCATATACTGTGTGAGGAGACTGTATACGCAGCGAGAGGATAATGACTCATCAACCTCTTCGCTTCCTTCCTCTCCACTTCCGCTCAATTGTTTAACTTTTGCACTATTTCCATCTCAAGCAAGGCTGCTCCATTAATTGGCATGTAAATAACAAACATTAAGTAACCTGAACAGGTCCAAGTCTTACATATAACCACAAAGTATCCGTAAATTGCTCCTGCTGACGAGGAGGAGATGAATGAAATCTGTAGCATGTTAATTAAGATTCTCAACTTTCCTTTGGGGATGGGTTTTAATGAACCTTTTCCATCTTATTCTCGTGGTGCTTTCTCTTTTCCTTTTCTAGCTTAAGTTTTGAAAAGTGATAGTTTGTGAAAATGATAAATTACTAGAAATAAGTGGATATGTTTGCAAATTAAATTGGGTAGAAGCTGCATGCCATAAATATGCCCATATATGTATGTATGGCTAAGTTACTTTAAAAAGGAAACTTTACTAGAAAAATGCTTTCTCCGCCCTCCACATACTTATCTTAAATTGCAAATATGTAAGTATCCATTCCACTGACAAATTTGTTTATATTTTTGAAATCCTTTGCCCCCCTTCTTGGTGTGGAACGATTTCAAACTTATCTGGGTGAGTATGTAGCTTACGTTACCAGCAGGTGAATATGGAATAGTGTAAGTGCTCTGTCACACCCACCACTCCATACACACCTGATATGAAGATTAGTGTAGTAATTGAGCAATTACAACTTCCAAATTATAGGATCCGAACGAATATGGGGGTGTGACGGAGCTGTATGTCCCATCGGAGCACATTTGGTACGTTTCATTAACTATCCTTGGCCTCCTATTCTCAGATTTGTCAACTAATTCTTGTTGTTTCTTGCAGGCTTCCAGACATCGTGTTATATAACAAGTAAGTCAAGTACTAAGTTCGAATCTGCCTTGATTTTGTCAAAGAAGATGGCACTCTCTACCCGTTTGTTCGACTTTCTCTAAACTTGTTTGGTACCACATTGCTTTATACGACAAGCAGTTACTTAAGATATCCGGGAAAGTAGACGGGCGAAACTAGCAAGATTCTTGGTTTGATGTTGCGTTCATTATAGATGATAATGTGATACAAAGTTGGATTTGGAAGATATTTCCTAAAACCCTTCACCCAGACAGGAAGTACAATGTACAAGTAGTCAACATGAATATGCATTAAGAAAATAATGAACTGAAGTGATGCCTCCTACTCACTTTATGAATCTTATCTTATTGAATCTTGCTTACTTCAATTAGTCCAATGTATAAATTAAGACATTACAGATATGATTCTTGTTATACTTGGTCATTTGCTCTTGGCGTCATAATTTAACGTGTCATTAAGTTGTGAACTCAGAAATAGAACTAAATAACGACGAAGAATTAGAAACTCGTCACGTTCAAGTAGTCAGTTTACGCTATGCATACAGTTTTGGGAGGTAGTAATGCACATAGTTCGATATAACTTTAACCATCAAAATAACATTCATTGCTGCATTACACATACTCGATCTCTTATCCTCTTGTTAATGTTAGAATGTATAGCATAATATTTGCAGCCATGCATAAACAAATTTGCATTCTTGTATGAAATTTAACTGACAACTGGCTGTTTCTTCTTTACTTTCATTGCCTTCCTTGCTTTCTAAAGTGCGGATGGAAATTACGAAGGTAGTAAACACAATATTGTTATTAATTTATAAGCTTCATTGATCTGTTCAGTAATTAACTACTATTTGTTATTATTAGTAACGCTGATGACGAAAGCAACATTGTCTTCGAAAGGAATAATTTATTGGAAGCCACCAGCTATCTACAAATCGTCGTGTGAGATCGACGTCGAATATTTTCCGTTTGATAGCCAGTCATGCACTATGAAAGTAGGTCACAAGAAGGTCATGGCGATAAAAATAAAATAGATGTACATTGTTAACCACTTCGCCCCTATAACGACTATGTGGCGTTTTTGACCATTACGCCGAGTACGACCATGTGGCGTAAGTTCCCTTGGCACCGGAATACGACGATGTGTCGTATTGACCCTTGACAACGGATACGACTATGTGGCGTATTTTCCGTTCACACCGGCCTACGACTATGTGTCGTATCCGGAAAAAATTAGGTCATTGCCTCTCCAAGCAAAGCAAAGCAAGAGTTATGAGTCAACAACCCGCCCTTTAGGCGGGAAGATAAATTGTCTCTTAGGAAATAACATTAGAAAGGGATGCAAAATAAATTTATAGCCAAGTGGCTATATCTAGCCAACACGCCGAGTTGTGAAAACTGTTTTTGCAAGGAAATTTCGACACCGATTTAATTCAACAACGCTTTACGATAAGATTAGAGAAATTGTTTTGCTCGCATGTAGCACAAACGGCGTTTTGGGCGAGAAAACTAAAAGTTTGATGAATTGCATCATTGCAGGATTTAATTATATACCACAAATAATCTTGCCGGTAGGGTAAACTACGTCAAAATTAATGATTACGTATCGGGTAAATCGGGCCGCTGAAATATCTTTTGGGCGGGAAAATTAAAAATTGAGAGATTTCCAGGAATTAGTAGAATTTAGTTTTCCCGCTTAAAATTGATTTCTATTCACCAGATGCGCCATAGTCTATTTTCAAGCAATTTCCTCTCGCGTGATAATTATTCATTGTCATTGCTGTCTATTTAAAGTCATTGTAAGGATTTTTGGTTTTCCCGCCCAAAATCGGCTCCTAAGGCGCTTTAGGCGCTATAATCAATATTTGCGAGTTTACGTACTATTATGCAAGTATTACTCCATGCTTGTCTAACTTTTCATGCAATTACAATCATTTTTAAAATTCGGCGTGTTGGCTATTTTCGGCTATAAACATGGGTGGTTCGCCACAACTCAAAAATGCAAATTACAACTCAAAATTCCTTCTTGAAAGGTTATTCACATCAATTTTCATAAAAAAGTGTCCAGAATAATTCCGGTGGGAACACCATTTTTTAATTCATGGCCCAGGAATTAACGTCATGCAGTAGATAAAAATTTCGGGGTCAAGGGAGGTAAAAATTCGCGGTTACTAGGGGTGAAAGGTATGAAAAAACTCGTCTCCTAGGGTTGAAGTGGTTAAGGTCACAAAACGCTTAAATATTGAATTTCAAGTCGATTGCACAATTTAAGCAAGTTAGGTCACATTGTGTCGAAAAAAGGTCATTGCGATAAAAATGAAGTACAAATAAATTTTTAAGGTCACCGAAGCCTTAAATTTTGAATTTCAAGTCTATCGTGAAATTTTACGCTCTTTACATTTGGGATCAGCACCTTAGAAGGGGAGGTTGTGTGCTATCAAATCACTGATCTTAATGCCCTTTGGATATGTTATAGTGTCCCATGAATGGACAATAAGTGGTTTGATGCCCTGGACACATTTGCGCCCGCCACACCCACTCAAAGGTGCCCAAAAAACGCTTTCACTCCAACTTTCACTCATTAAAATCCACGCCAGAAATCCAATTTTACTCGGATTTTGAAATTTCTTTCACCATTATCCTCCCAGATAGTTGTTTTCTTATATCCAACATCAAACTCAACTTTGTTGATAATTATTTCGTAGGCATAATTTGCATTGTTGATTACTACAACAATGCACTTTCAGAATTTTTAATTTTTAAAATACTAAAAATTTCAAAAAAGTTGAGTTTGATGTTGGATATAAGAAAACAACTATCTGGGAGGATAATGGTGAAAGAAATTTGAAAATCCGAGTAAAATTGGATTTTTGGTGTGCATTTGAGTGAGTGAAAGCTGGAATGAAAGCGTTTTTGGGCACCTTTGATTGGGTGTGGCGGGCGCAAATGCGGCTATGGCATCAAACCACTTGGGGGTTCTTATTGAGTCATAGGACACTATAACATATCCAAATGGCATCGAGATAAGTGAGTTGATAGTGCACAACCTCCCCTCCTTAGAGATTGAGCTATTGAGAAAAACTGGTTGAGGGATGTGGTTTACGCATCCAAATTAAATACGGTGAATGTATGTATAAATATATACAGATTTACATATGTTCGTAAATCGAAAATTATGACAATGTTTATGATTTTATAAATTAATTGTTATGATATCCTTGCACAGTTTGGGAGCTGGACATATGAGTAAGTATGCATTTTATACATACGTATATGTACTTATACAATGAAATATTACAATTGCAAGTTAACAATTTTATTTTATTTTTAGTGGTTTTCAGGTAAGCAGATTGTTATTTTTATCCAAATTCAATATAAAATTTTAATGTGATTTGGTCTAAGGTGAAGGCTATTTGTTCAAATACCTCATCTTGGTACCATTGCAATGTTAATGAAAGTTATGCTCTCAATAAGTTCCATGTAACATTTTCCTGTACAAGAATTCTCTAGCATTTTCTAATGTTGCAAACAAAACAATTCCCATCAGAGATATTTTGGTTGTTTGTTGGTCAAAGATAACTGAAATAATGATGCTCTGATTTTTCTAAGAAAAATGATAAAGGACGGGTACGGACGGAGTGGCGTATGTGATATGAATGACATTTGGATTGCGTGCAGGTTGATTTGCAACACATGAACCAAGATATTGGGAGCAATCTTGTACCGATCGGAATCGATTTAAAGGAGTAAGCGATGATCTTTCTGTTCATTTCATTCATTATGCTTGCACACATATTTGGAACGGCTAACGATAAGTTCAAATGCCTAAAATGTCCTACACAAACTCGGTTTATCAGTATTTGTTTAATAACTAATTAAATTAATAATGCATTTAATTAATTTTAAAAAAACGATTTTTTAAAGTTCTTCTACACAAACTGATTTTTAAACTGGCAGAAAGTGCATAATTATTTTATACAATTATAATTCTATTCAATAATTATCCGATAACTACAGAACTTCAGATGAACACTTGTAAAATATAATTTAAAACTTAAATCATGTATCAATCACATTCATTAATCTTTAATTTCCGCAGATTTTACCTCTCTGTGGAATGGGATATTTTGGAAGTTCCTGCGAAACGAAATGAAGAATATTACCCATGCTGCAAAGGTTGACACCGAAATTATTATGACTCTGACCAGAGCGCTTTCACCGCAAGGTTTCGCATAGTGAATAAAAATATAAAGACTAAATTGTAAGTCAAGAAATACAAATTTACGGAACAGGAACTCAGCGAACATTTATTTAGATTATGATTAGAATTTAATACGATAGAAAAATATTTTCTTACATTCGAAGTGAATGTACGAAGCCACCACCATCATGAAAGCTTACTCAACTTTATTGTGTTTCTGAGACAAGTTATGGTTAGATTTTATTTGTTTTTATCAACTACATAGTTAGTAGAATGTTATGGATTCGTACTTTGATGGTCGAGTTGGTATGATTAAACAAATTTCTTTTCGACCAATCGGCCTCCAATCGACCAAATAATCCTACACATTTCCAAAAAATCGCTTTGTTCTTACAATTCTCGACGGATACATTTGTATGTATATAATCACATAGTTAGTCTTTGTTACAGTACTCGGAACCTTGTGTTTAGAGTTTTAGAGGCGTTCTGGTCAGAGACATAATCATGTTGCTCTTTCCGAAGAACCATACCCAGGTAAACATACATATTATATAAATATAAAAATCTATATGCATAAATATGTCCATTAGATCATACTCCTAAATTTCATTACCAACCAATCATTGCTGTTGAGACTTGAAATACTGTTTTCCCTTCAATTTAACAACAAAGAAAGGACTGGTGAAACTGTTCAAACAAGTGCCGAGAATTAGCTGTGGTTGACTTAACAAATGATCTTTGAAAACTTGCATCATTTACAACCTTCGTCTAGCTCGACGGTTCATTTAATTGCGTAAACTTTTACCAACTTAACAAATGCTCACATCGCACAATGGCTGATTACAGAAAGAATGTGGCAGAATCTAAGCTATTCGTACAGACGTGCGTCCATATACCCAGGCTGTCAGCAGGGTCTAGTAATAGTCCTATCATAACAATTCTTGTCAAGTGTAATTGATTGTTCAAGTTTATACGGGGAGGAATCATTAGACGTCTAATTTCCTAATTTGGAAAACTTTTCTCATGCTGTGCGATTCATTACACATTCCCTGAAATCTCCAGTAAGAATGGAAAGAAGGCCGTCTGGCTTGTTCGTATTGCTAAAAAGAGAACATAATTAAGCTACCTCACTCGAGCTATTGCTGTGAAATTGAGATGCCCTGCGTCAAAATGCTGAAGAAGAAGAATGAGAATGAATTGTAATAAATTAAGTGGCGGTGTTCTATGTGTCCACAACGTAGATAAAATTTCACATGTCACCTAACCTTGCGTCCGTCAAAAGATAAGTCCAACACTGTAAAGACAAGGGCGTGTGCATGTATGTATATACATTTATGTCACTAATACTGATAGGGAGCCTGATCATGGTACATATGCATGTGCTAAATATTTTGCTAAAATTTCATATATGCATTTGCATCTATATAATAGCATTATTAGCTGCACTTTATTATTCTTCTGAATCGACTCAGAACCAAACAGTTCAACTGTTTGGTACACTGAATTATATTTACAAAACGGACATAATAACGAAAAATCACATTGGCTTGTGAAAAAATTCATGACGCTAGATGAGATATATCATGAACTGCAGGAAATATTTTGATTTATGGGGTCGTATCCTTTCACAATATTTCTCATTCCTTCTTGGCACAAATCCTCCACATTTCTTCCTGAAGCAAGACAAGCGGTCTGAACAAATATTTTGAGCCATTTCTTGGGTGTACACAAATTATGTGGGTTGGGCTTAGGATTATTATATACTGGGGGCACAAAATCTTTTTCCATGTCAGGAGCAAGTATATGTATGATGCGCCTGGAGGATACGTTCTCATCCAATTTTACAATCCATGTAGCGAAAACCTTTCGAGCTTTTCAGACTGTAAAATGTAACGTGTTCGAAAATAGACGCTGGATATGGGAGTACGTACACAAGAGGACCATAGTGTACATTTGTAATGATATGACTCATGGTCGTACACTGAAAATGCACCTAGACGTACAAGCACACATATCCATCTTAACTACAATGTGAAAGTTTTTATGCTCTGGTATTTGAACAATGTGCCATATCAAGAGAATTTCTCTTTATCTCAATTTCTCTCAACTTCTTTTCAAAACCAGTCATAAAATGTGAAGTGAAGACATTGCTCTCCCACCCACTTGTGCACTCGCACATTGTTCTCATACAAATGTGTTTATGTGTGTGTGTATATGTGTGTAAAAGCAGTGAGATTTCCTCTCTTACTAAAATCTCGATTCCTGTACGAAAGAGAATTGCATGGCGGATGAGGAGTGGTGAATAACTCCCTGAGCAAGTATGTTCGAGATCAAATGTGTGCTTTTCCTTCGTCTGCACTCTGTCCTAACTTGTACTACTTTCCTGAATTTCCCTGAAGAATTCTTTTCTTCACTATGATTCTCATGCAACCAGTATTCCAAGCAGGAGCCAACAGCTAAGGACCAATTCTTTCCCCACTTTCTCTCTCTTCAGAGTAATCTCAATGATGCAAAGAGGAAATAAAAGTACTCATAAGTAGAAAAATAACATTGCGAGCATTAATATTGACTATTTTTCATGAATTGATATTTTTATCCCACAGATAAATAGTATAGTTCTTGGAAAGAAACATGACGTGTTTGACTAAAATGTGCACTGCTTTGGAAAGAGTTTCATGTGCTTATACTGCTTGTAAAATATGAAAAGGTTGCAAACTCCCTGCATCCTTATTAATTTGCCAATCTTTAATTTTACGATTCGAGTTCTGAAAATAAACGTAATTTGTAGAAAGTCATTTGCAGAGACACTGGTAATCGAAACTTTATGGGTAATAAATGCGCTGGTACAATATCATACTTTGTACAAAACTGAATTTTATTGCTACTTCACCTTCACTTAAATAAGCCCTGAAATCAAAGCCTAAAAATGTTCCTGGATCGTCATCAGCTAGATTAATTCCTCTGTTGCTGTTACTATTCACTCTGTTGGCTCATAAATAGAGTTGAGATTCAATAATAATTTTGCAAAGAAATTTCATATTGGGAAACTTGCCTGATCCTTTCCTTTTATTTCGTTTCCTTTCTTTACGGTGTAATTAGATTGAGCAGGAGCGAAATTTAATTTTATGACAATCTCCCTTGATGATGGTAGTGGACCGGATAAATTTGATTAGTAGGCCAATCTAAACCAACTAGAGAAGTCACTAGGTGGAACTATTTATAAAATTGAATACGTCTTGTTGTGCACACATTCCTGACATAATTACGCACTCATCTAAATGACATCCCTAGGATCTCAAAATGTCTGAAAATTGATAGCCTTAGTCTCGTGTACTTAAACGTATGTACGATAGGGGAATCCTAAAAGGATATTATTTTTCCATACGTTTTGAAATCCTAGTGATATCGTTTGGATGAGTGGCTGATTGGGATGTATGTATAGAATTTCAAAATTCATTTGAAACACGTCAGGAAAGCAGAGAGTTGCAAATTGGTCTTATGAATATATTTTGTATGTCTGCGCTAACTTTGGCACGCTGTGTGGCATGCTTTTATATGTGTTGATTGTTTCAGACATAACCTTCAATGTGACAATGCGGCGGAAAACTCTGTTTTATACAGTCAATCTTATCATACCAGTAATTGGTAAGACCATAGTTTATTAGAATTTTTCCAATAAAAGATGGACGAGGCTAAGAAAAATGAAGTAATGTTTCAATGTCTGTGCAGGTATTTCTTTCCTCACAGTACTCGTGTTTTACTTGCCTTCAGGTAGGTCAGAAAATGAGTGTGAAATTATTTACAAATATACATTTTTTCCTTCCTGATTTTCTGCTTTCTGGATGAAATTTTAGACTCGGGAGAGAAGATTACATTGTGTATTTCGATTCTCTTGAGCTTGACAGTTTTTTTCCTCTTGTTGGCTGAAATCATCCCACCCACGTCGTTGGCAGTTCCTCTTCTCGGAAAATACTATACGCTAATTTGGATGCATTACATATATAAAACGAGCATTTTTAAAATGTGGTGACCTTTTAATTGAATATGCTATTTGTGTATTTATGTAGAGACTGAAATAGCACTAGGTCATAAAAATACACTTAACATATTTTCTAAGAATTTCCAGTTATCACATTTTTTTGCTGTGCATTTAGGGTAATTTTTGTGCATCCAAACTAGTGTTAATGTATGAGTTTTTAATGCTATTCACAATGGTCCTTGTCACCTTGTCAATCTCGGTCACAGTTCTGAACCTCAACGTACACTTCAGGTAACTTTTTGTCGTATAAATCTACATTTTGCATGTCATTAAAATTGTGGACCATGTTTTTATAGTGTTAACAAGGGAACCCTATGTACTGTCACATTTCGACTTTCCTTAGGATGGTCTAAATTGATACATAATTTAGTGTAGCTAAAACTTTGTCGTATGACATACGGTATAAAATCACGTTTATGTGAAATATTTGGCGAAAGCTGCACCAAAACGTGCAATTTTTCCAATGCTTTTAACATATGTGTAGATAACAGCCTGCGGAATAATGAAATGCAGTTTATAAATTATATATAGGTACCTGTCCGCAATTTTATGCTGATCACCAATATGCAAAAAAACTATGCAAACATTGGCCAATTTTATTTCAAATAGCGAAAATCTGCAGAATTTTCTAACTTTGAATTTCGTGGTTTTTTGAAATTTTATCAAAATTTCAATGCTAAACTTCTTTTATTTAAGCATTGCGCAAAAAAAGTTTTCAAAAAATAATTTTTCTTATTACAACTTATTATTTCAATATAATAATTTTATTTCAATTACTTATTAGAAAGGGTGAAATTTTTCGCAAATTGAAACCCGCAATTTTTCACGAAAAAAATATAATGACCAATGCTATTCTATTATACGTATTTTTTCAAAATTGTTGGTTATATTTATTTTAGAAAGTTGCAAACAATTCTGGAAATTTGTATCGTCAGCTTCTGACATATTCAACAAAATAACTTTTCCATACCTCGTTCAAGATTTTAAGCCTTTTGGAAAACTTGAGTAAATCTCATCTATGAGGGACCCTGGCATATGTATATATAGGGCACATAAATATAGGGCGCCCTATATTTATGCCACTAAATACCACGAAATACAAATTTAGAAAATTTTGCAGATTTTCGCTATTGGAAATAAAATTGGCCAATGTTTGCATAGTTTTTCTGCATATTGGTGATCAGCATAAAATTGCGGACAGGTATATAATTTATAAACTTTTCATTACTCCGAAGGCTGTTATCTACACATCTGTTAAAAGCATTGGAAAAATTGCACGTTTTGGTTCAGCTTTCGCCAAATATTTCGCAAAAACGTGATTTTGCACCGTATGTCATATGACAAAGTTTAAGCTACACTAAATTATTTATCAATTAAGACCATTCGAAAGGAAATCGAGATGTGATAGTACTTAAAGTTCCCTTGTAAGTGCAAATGTTGAATGTAGGATATCACACGATTGTGCAAGTGCATGACATAGGTCTTCTCAAATGCAGTGCCTAAGTTTTCGATAGCCAACAATGCCAAACATCTGCCGAAACCCCAAATGAGATAAAATAGACCATCTGGGCCCTGACAGCTTTTAATGTGAAATGGATACTGCTTATCCGTATTTTCCTATAAAAGTATTGGCTTCTATTCATGTCTGCTGTCAAAAATTTAAGTGAGAATCAATAAAAGGACCCTTTGTTGATGGCATGGCTCATTTTCTAGTCTAAATATAATTCAGCAATGTGCATACACATTATTTTGGAGAGAAAAATGAAATTTAATTCAAAACCTGATTCTCCATATTTATACTGCCATAAAGTAATGCATGTTCTTCTCTCTCACAGATCTCCCTCAACTCATAAAATGTCGCCCTGGGTGAAGAAGGTGTTTCTCGAGTTAATGCCACGCTTTCTGTGTATGAAGAGACCAGAATATCGTCCTATATATGCCTACGAGGGCGATTTTACAGCTACTTCTGCCACAGCCGGAAATAATGACTATGGCATGAATTTTGGCACAGGGTACGATATTTTTCTACTACACTTGCCCAATATTACGCCACTCGTCCCACACCCAGCGGGAACATATTTCACAGAATCGTGAAGAAACCGTCTGTATATGACACCATGTAAAAGTTGCATGCGTGCATGCCCCAAGCAGCAATAGAAGTATACATACATATGTCCTATATGAACGTTGAAAGGGGTACTTAACCCCAAAAAACTCGTATGGGGCTGCTGGGGATAAATATTTCTATTCTTGCTTAGGGGGGCTTACGACACTAGTCCTCGGACGGAAGAGTCTAGCGTGGACCATTCACGACGTATGAAATCTTTCTCCGACGACTCTTGTGGAGGTAATTCGTTTCAGATTCACTTTCGTAAACTTTCTTTAGATTAAACTCATTAGGTTTTCTAGTCGTTCCTTAATCTTTCTCCTTATTATTGTGAAACGAGAACTTGCCGCTGGGCGTAATAACCCTTCTGTTAAACGCTTGCATCCAATTAACATGATACATTTTTAACCATCCTACAAAATTTCACAACCGCGTGGTTGGATGATTTCTCAAGTTGCGCCACAGTTTTCTTTCCCATTACTTCGGGACACGAGGATTGTACGGAGAGCGAGGAAAAGTGGTATTCATTTCCTTATAATAATGGTATTTTCCGTAACCCAAGAATGGAACAGATTAAAACTCACTTAGCTCTCTCTCAACTCAGGAGGGGAGCTTGCGAGGTTGATAATAACAGATCCTGATGCCCTTTGGATATGTGGTAGGGTCCTATGAGTGTACTAAAACCCTGAAGTGGTTTGACTCCATAGCCACATTTGCGCCCGCCACACCCACTCAAAAATGCCCAAAAAACGCTTTCACTCCAGGTTTCACTCATTCAAATCCACGCCAAAAATCCAATTTTACTCGGATTTTGAAATTTCTTTCACCATTACACTCCCAGATAGTTTCTTTCTTCAATCCAATGTCAAACTCAATTTTGATGATGATTATTTCGCAGGCATAATTTGCGTTGTGGATTACTACAACAATGCTCATTCAGAATTTTAAATTTTAAAAATACTAATAATTTCGAAAATATTGAGTTTGATATCGAATTGAAGAAAGCAACTATCTGGGAGTGTAATGGTGAAAGAAATTTCAAAATCCGAGCAAAATTGGATTTTTGGCGTGGATTTGAGTGAGTGAAAACCGGAGTGAAAGCGGTTTTTGAGCATTTTTGAGTGGGTGTGGCGGGCGCAAATGTGGCCATGGAGTCAAACCACTTCAGGGTTTTAGTACACTCATGGGACCCTACCACATATCCAAAGGGCATCAGGATCTGTTATTATCAACCTCGCAAGCTCCCCTCCTCAGTTGTCGTCATCATCATCGTGTCGTCCAATGAAAGTGTGAGGGACGAAGAGAGAACGTGAGAGAGTAATTCATATTCGTATTCGTCTGAATCTTGCATCTGTGAGTGGTAGTGGCAAAACGCTGCTTTTCCCACTTAGGAGGAGAGCTTCACCACCTGCCCTTCACAGATCTCGATGCCCTTTGGATATGTAGTAGGGACCAATGAGTGTACTATAACCCTGAAGTGGTTTGACTCCATGGCCACATTTGCGCCCGCCACACCCACTCAAAGCGGTGAAAACCACAAAAAGTTACCAACTTCAAAAATCCACCAAAAATCCAATTTTGATCGGATTTTGATAAAATTTACATTTTTATAATCCCAGATACTTGTTTGATCATATCCAGTAGCAATCTCAACTTTTTTGAAACCACTTCAGGGTTTTAGTACACTCATGGGACACTACCACATATGCAAAGCACACCAAGATCTGAGAGGGGCAGGTGGTGAAGCTCCCCTCCTTAGAACTTTCCTCCAATTTCATCACTTCAAAGTTGATTCTAGTTTGCTCAACACACTTATCTGGGAGGGAGATTATACGATAGTCTTATTTGCTAACTCGTTCCCAACGTCAAACAGAAAATTATGTACAAGCAAGGAGAGTATAATAAATTAAATGCATGTCCACATATTATGACGAAGGGATGGACGAGATTTTTTCATGCTAAGCTACACGGTGGCACATGTAAGTATATATGTGTGGTTGCGTATTAAAGCTAGGGTAATCTTGGTTTTACATTATAATCCTTAATCCACGAGTTTCCATTTTATACTATTAATCTTTAACCTGTAGTCCAAGAAGTTAATCTCCAATTGTTTTTCTAAGGGTCGGATTTATAGAGAAAAATAATATTTACCATTTTTCTCTAATCGTAATCTCTAATCGTAATTTTTCTAACTGCATATTCGAAACCGCTTGTCACAAAAGTTTCAATTGAATCAACAGCAGTTTCGTATACTTCCACATTGCTCAATAAGATTATGTAAACGGGAAAATAAATAAATAAATAAAATAATAAATTTTATCAACAACAAGGGCAAGATTTTACACGTAAGTTTAGTGTCTGTTCAATGAACAACGTGTTCTCTTTCCCATATATTCCCCCCACTCTAATCTCCTCTCCACCACTCGACAAAAGTGGATTTAATTTCCTCGGTTTTACTCCAGATACGGATAATACAGAATTAGAGTCGCAGGGGAGGAAATGGATTTAATTACTTATTTCCGTCTTAATTCTACTTTCCCTATGAATTATGCATAGCTTAGAAGAGATGTTGATGAGATACTCGTTTGCAGCTAATCAAATTATTCTTGTACAACCTAACGTCAACATCCACAATTCTTGCATCCCTCCGCTACATGCTGCAAATAAGTGTAACATAATTTTCAGAAATATAGGTATATTTTGTTACACTGCACGAAGGATACCTCGACCAAGCAGTGGGTTGTTGATGAATTTACCATGTATAGGAGATAGGAATTATCCACTGTATATTTTCCCTGACAAAACCCGTGTCGAAATTAACAGAATTTCCACACTTTGATGACAAAACATACATCAATGATTAAAGAGAAATGAGACCGAGGTTAGCTTGGACATATTTTGAAGGTTATCTCACTACTCTTTGATGTGCTGGTGGGAACTTATTTAGCTTATGGGCATATTGAGTTTGAAAAATTTCCAAAATAGACCACGTCGCTGTTTGTTTTACTATGCAAGAATAATTACAACATGCGCAAATACATTAAAAGTTTGCACATTTGATTTATATAACTACTCGCTTTTAGCATCATAAATTCAGTTTTGATGGTTTGTTCTCCCATTTATCCATCGTAGGACAGCGGTGACAAGACAAAGTCAAATCCAGATTTGACCACCCAACAAAGTCGGTATATTGATAAAGAATAGGTTGGCCTGATAAATTTAGGATGTCCTCACAAATGATCCAATAGAAAGGAAACCGACTCATGCACAGTGAACCACAAAATATAATGACCAATGTTCGCACAGAGGCCGTTTGCCAACTGGAATTGTTTGATCCATCCTGCCGTCGCGGTTATCCTTTGATTCTTCAGTTCTGGTGTCCCTTTAAATAGTTCAGGCAGAGAACCTGCAGATAAATTGTCATCATTAGGCCGAAATTGCTCTTTGAATCTCTCCCGATGTACCAAGGACCATGTAGCTGTCGGTTGGAGGCATGCAAATTATTAATTGGAATTCGAATGAGTGGCATCTCTTCGTCCTCCACTATTCAAACTGCTACTGCTGCTTCTAGAGGTTTATTTTCAATCGTTCGTCCAATATCTGAACACATTTAGCTTACAATGATTATCGGCTTGGAGACTACATATGTATGCAGATGTTCCCCAACAATAATACCTAAAGAGAGCTTTATTTAGTTGTACATGCTTTAATAAATGTCAAGGGTTTATAATTCGAGTGAGTGTTTCAAGGTTATCAGGATTTGTAAAGTGTATTAAATAGCTAGAATGAATCCGAGTTTGGATTTTGTAGGATCTGGATTCGAACGAATCAGAATCAACTCAAATTGGTGTATGTGCATATAGTGTTGCATGGATCCTCATCGTGCAGAAATTCGGTACATTCGAATCCACTTGATATTCGTGTGTAATACTACAGTGTAAGAAATGCAGGTTTGTAGAAAATTCATTTTGGAGACTTGGTGAAAGTTGAGCGAGCAAAAGTAATTTCGCATTGGTAGTGTTTTACAGACTTTTTAATTTAAGAGATAAGTTACACTGTCTCGCAACTTTCCTCAGGGTTAGGAAGCCGCAAAAGTGTTGGAATTTCAGTTATCAGCTAAGTGAGCAAAACTTCTTGGGAGAGATAGTGTAGCCTAGTGGATGGATGGAGGGAAGCCTTTGATGTTCTCAATCGTGTCGTAAAACCGTAAAGATATTAACGACGGCCACAAAAATATAATCATTTTGCTCCAGATACCACTCTTTTGTACTTTCTCCACCATTTCTTATCGGACAGGAAGCTCAGGGAAGTCTATACTTGTTTAAGCAATCGGGTGTGCACTACGGCGTGCGAGAGAAAGTGGAAATACCGCACCGAACTACTTTCCTCCTCCTCATCTCCAAAGCAGACCTTGCAGCAGCACAGTTTGAGTGGCGGTGGTGTTGGCCCAGTGAAATCGGAACCCTTAATAAAACTCGTCAAAGGAATGTAATTTATGCTGCATACTGGTATTAATATCCAGACCACAGTTTACTCTCATAAGGAGAGCGGATGAGCAATATATGGAAACCCTTCTTATATATGTTGCAGCCTTGTGGTCAAAACTATGTATCTGTATGCAAACTACATATGCACATGTAGGGATTTTAATTTGCGTAAAAATGCTAGAGAAGTATGTAGCCTAAAATCTTTTGCAATTGTTTAACCGTGGAATATGCATGCATGTATATAAATATGTTTGATATTTGCTTTGCGTATTGCAGGTTTGGGAATGCCATTCAGCCCAGAGATATCAGCTGCACTCAAGAGTGTACAATTTATAGCTCAACATATCAAGGAGGCAGACAAAGATAACGAGGTAAGTAACGTAACGAGCCTTCCAGTCTCATTGGACTCTTAAGTGGCCAAGTTTAGTCATTTATATAGTTTAGGAAATATCATCTACACGTGCCCTTAAAATAAACAGCACGACACAGATACGCACTGCTCTGTTGAGTCATGTACTCTTTGGTCACAAATTTTTAAAACCTTGCATCTTACATTTCAAAGAAACTTTTTTTTCCTGCTGTGTCATTCACCGTTTGTAAGCTATACCAAGGAATATGAACTTTACTGATATTTACTCCTTGGTCAGAATGACATTAAGCCGGAAATTGATGGATCATTAAGATTTATTGGAGCAATTCAGCAGGTTTGAACTGGCATGAGTATGCAGGAGGCTCGCACAAGAGAAATACGTATGCAGTATCATGTAGCCTTGTGAGTGGGGGAAATCAGTCTACAGCATGTAGCACAGAGTCACAGGGCTGCAGAGACTACTGTGTAGTTTAGTTGTGAAAGTTGTGGTTGGCGTGAGAGCGTTAGGTGACACGATCCCAGAAGCCGAGCCGAAGGGTCCGAGAGATTTATGTGAGCTACTTTTAAATTTGCGAGAATTACTTGGCGAAGCTCAAATGGATTTCTCAAGTTGCCATTTAAACCCAACAACCTTAAATCCCACAGCCCACCCTTTCTCCGTCCATCCTGCCAGTGGTTAGTTACTTTGGCAGGATGAATGACTTGTCATTGTCATAAGGTTAGTTTGTTTGGAGTTTCTAGTTTTCGTTCTGTATGTGCACAAAGCAAACACAGAGCCGCGTAGCCGATGCTGCTGTATTTGTTCGTGTAGAGAAACTGTGGCTTGATTAGTTAGTACAAGGCTGGGAAATTGTTTAGCTGGAAATTGTTGTCCTTATCAAGTCATTTTGAAAATTCAGTGCCACTGCATTGCATTACTGGCACTCACAGTGGCACGACTAATCTTAAGTGAGTAGTGTTCTTTTAGTCTGCACCGATGCGAAACGAACAGTGTTTCATGGAGAATGATGGATGAGAATTAATGAAAGAAATAAGAGGCTTAGGAACAATAAAGTCTTTAGAGAATTTACTGCTAATTTTGGGTCTCTGGGCTTAACTCTGCGTCTGTGTACATGTATTTTGTGAAACTCATCCTTCGTATGTAATCACTAAACTGTGACCTTTTTTTCTTAAAAGGTGATTGAAGATTGGAAATACGTAGCGATGGTAGGCATTTAAGTATCTTACTCCATCATTTTTTCCATTACGCTATTTGTACAAGTCTTATTACATATTATACTCTAACTTGAATAAATATATTTAGGTTCTAGACCGCCTATTCCTGTGGATTTTTACGTTGGCCTGCGTCCTTGGAACTTGCCTAATTATATTGCAAGCACCAAGTCTTTACGACGACAGATCTCCCATTGATCAAGTCTTGTCTGAAATTTATTTTCAGCGGACGTCTGTTGAAAAACCCAAGAATCACGTCACCCAATAATCAATGAAGGACAACACGCCTACAACAATTGTACAGTTTATTTATTGTGCACATATTTAAACCCAATTTTCTTAACACAACAGTGCCCTGCATGGTATCAACCAGGAATCAGCGACCAAACCTTGTCAATAAAAACAAACCTTATCAAACAAAATCACGCAGCATAAAAATCAAATATTTTAGATTGAATTTGAATATCTGTAGACACGTAGTATTATTTACTCGATATGAAATATAAAGGAATATAGCAGTGTCGTTTCTACAAAGTAACAATAAAAATATGTACATGAAAATGTAAGAATCCTCAATATTTTGAGAATCGAGAACGGTATATGTAAGCTTCGTAGTGGTGAGTTTCTCGTACATAAGTAAATAGCTTCCAGAAAATTGAACATTTTTAGCACAGACCAGGGAATGAGGGGGAGGAAGAAAGTTGATAATGGTGTCAGATGGAAGGAAAGCCAACTACATATATGGCAAGATGAATGTTGGTTTCAGCCAGCATCCAGCAGCAAGATTTGAGCCGTCTCTCTCCCCACTCTAGGAATAAATCAGGGAAAGGTCTTTCCAACAAATCAACTTTGTCATTGACACTTTCGCTTTATGTGCAAAATCCGGCTGGAAGGCAAATATTGACACCCCACATTATACAATCTAACCAGTCAACCTTGTTTCCATTTATGAATTATCCAGTTCAATTTGTGGTGGCACAAACTGTAAAACTATTTCCTCCGCTTATCTAGAATACGTAAAGACAATGATGCAAGATCCATGCTTGCTGTGAACATCACCTCCTTCACTTCACCAGCAACCATCCTAATCCGAGAGTGGGATGGCAGTTAGTTGAGAAAATTGGAAAATTGATGCGTCACTTGATTATTTTGGATCCAGCAGTCCGACTGGTATGAGCATGAGCACATGTCTTATCAGCACTTTCCCTTGAATTCTAAGATAAATGGTGAGAACAGATGAGGTAGAAATTAGAGTTTCACTACCTCAGCGTTTTACCTTCACTTTTATTCCAGTAAGAAAATACCTACAACTGCGTCTTGTCTGCGTGAACTTTCACCACTAGCCAAGAAGCATCTAGTCGCTGTCTACGTCGTGTCCTGTTCTAAATATGAAGGCCCTTTGTATATTTACACATGTAATAAATAAGCACTTAAGTACTTACACATTTGGTGTCATAATTTCATGTAAATATGTAACTGTATCAGAGTGAAATCTTAAAATAAAAATAAAAAATGAAATTGCAGCAATGATTATTTTTAATATACATAGTTTTATTGAGCACATATTCATAGACATCCACTTTATCTGGAAATGTCATAGAAGAACTTAGGTTACAAATTTATCTTGTGATTAGTTTTATTGAATAGATACACACATACATAGGGTTACAGGTTACTATGTATTAAACCTCCATGTGTATATGTACGTATAAATACACATATCCATTAGAAATAATCATGATAGGAAATGCCTTGAAATATGTTATCTTTACCAAATGACATAACAAACAAGTAATAATAAATTAATAACTTATTGTTCAGTCATAATTGACAAGTTATGAACTTATCTATTTTATTATGCATTCCATTTTTCACACACATTTAGACACACACACACATTTACTTAAGTATTCATAAAAACGTGGGCAAATATTCCACCAACGCGTTTTATATATGTAGCTCCTCCTTAAACGTCTGTCTTGTTATTATCTCTAAAGGTACAAATATTTATTTGACACAATTTCATTCTAACGTACTCTTAAATAAATGAGGATATTGCATTGATGAACGGACAAAGTAAATTAGGTAAAAGCTCAGATGTCATTAAGATTTTGTTTGTTTTTTACTCTAAAGTGTGCAATAAACAATTGACTCACGAAATGTGATCTAATGTAAAGAACAGAGTCCTGTCATTGGCACATAAATAATCACATTTTATCAAACTTTGTTTAAAACTCTGCAAAGCATAAGTATGAGTAATTGTAATTATTTTACTAGTATGTTCTCGCTTATATGTAGCATGGCTCCATACATAAATTTTAGTAAGTAGTGGTTTGTTATGTAATAAACCCATTTGGATTGCGATTGTCTATTTAGTTTTTTGTATAGTCCTTACATTTAATAAGAGGTTTACAGAGTGTGTGTATTTATGACGTATGGGGACATTTGATTTATCATTCATCGTCTATCTCACGATCAGTGGTAGAATATTTATTGGCAAATGTTTCAGAGTTAGAGTTTGCAAACTCGGAAGGGATTACGTAACTGGTTCATATGGGTACCTACATGTTTAGGAGACTGACGATGATGATGATAGTGATGATGATAATACTGCTTCTGTGGAGAATGGGTGTGGTAAAAGTTCATGATGAAATTCACATTATGGTAAAAACATGTCGTTACAATTTTCACATTTGAAAATTTGAAGTTACTTTGGTGAACTTTATCAAGCATCTGATACATATAATTAATACAATACATACTGCCCGTCAGTCTTTCGTAAGATTTCATAGTATTTTGATAATAAAACAAAAAAATTACTACAACCAAAAATACTAGCGATACACACACAATTATGAACATTGGCTGTATACTCGATCAATTTTCAAAATAGCAGTCAAAACATAAGTTATGAATAATTAATCAGATACCCAGCTGTTCTTGTGAATATTGTTTTTTTGCTATCGTGGATATGACCTTGTCAATTGCCTCACTGTAGTCGTACAATGCCGGCGCCTCAAGAAGAATCCAAGTCGTCCCGATGAAAAAGGCAGTGTTGAATAGTAAGAGAAAGATTCTGTCAAGCACCATCGCCACGAACCCCCAATCTTGATCTTCCTGTAACCTCAAAAAACACAGATAGATGAAGAACTAGAAAAATATTAAATTAGTTCCATCGCAATTTTTTTACTATTACATATAAATATGCGACTTGTGTTTCTAGAAAAGGCAAGAATGCAGTCAAAGAGCCCATTTATTTAATGAATTGAAATTCATCGAAATAAGACTAGAAAAGTTCGAGTTTCTAAAAAGAGTAAAAGTGGCGCAAAAATTCGTCAAATAAATCTGTTGCATTTCTCGCTACGGAGAAACGTTGATGTTCCATAGTTCCATAAGAGGCAAGTCAGCCAGACTCATTTTTTTTTACAAAAAAGTGGTGTTAAAGGCAGCTTGAAGAGGGTAGCGATGACTATGATCACAGCTCGCTCGGAGAAAGTAAAGTACACGTCTGAAGACGTTAGAGAGAAAATCGATTCTCTTCTTCCCTTTTCAGTACTATAAACTCACGATCAAATTTTCCGGTTAAAACTCATGAAAAAGGAGGAAACGTCGAGGAGAAAGTATTATATTGCCTTAAAATACGATTGTGGAGGAAACTGGAAACCGTTTCCAAATATACGTATGCCGAAGGCCTACACTGTTTCAAACGACCCAAGGATATGAGTATTGGATTTGGTGTCAAAATGCCACGTCAAGACCTGGGGCTAAAAAACACCATCACCACCCAACTAACCAATTCGACCTCACATACAACATGCATAGCGTATCGGGTAATGGAGGGTGTAAAAACACAGATGATACTTTTCCCCAAAAAACTTATCGTATTTTCCCATCGGAAAATGCCATTAGAATAATACTTTCGTATAAGATCAAGCAAACATGAATGTTCTGGCTGCTGCTAGAGAGCCTAGAAAAAAAACTAACTGTACGGCGTTCCAGTTTGTCACGTATATGTAGGTTAGTGCTACACTGAAATTCATGCATTCCCCATCCATTGTATAAAACGACTACTTTTGTTTCGATAGCATGACATGTTGAATTCGACAAGACTTTCAATATGATCTTGGAAGAGAACATTTTTGGATACACGTATGCATTTTGCAAGATATGCTGACAAGGCTCCCTATGGTTTGTTCTGTGGAATCGGTCCAAACTGGCATTCTCTTGGTCTTTAACAAGAAAGAATGCACTCGTTTCATTTTTGGACAATAGAACCAGAGGAGGATTTAAAGATTGTAGACGAGAAATGGGGTGGGCAGTGCGTCAAAAGTAGCCTGACTTGTTTATTTGAAAACTTTGAAAGTTTGCAACAACACAAATAAATCTTGAGCACAGTCGAATGACACAGGAAATTTCCCTATCGCTGACATTGACAAGAATTACTCTTGCACGCTATATTTGCATATAGTTCGCTCACAAAATGCACGAATTTTATACCATTAGCTACAACACAAGTCGTTCTTAAATGAGTAAATGCAAAATCAGACTGCGAGGCCGAGGCGTCTAAAAATCATTCTCCTTTCATTCACATATTTATGTGTCCAATGTGCAAGGTGCATAATTCAAATGCAAGAATGGATTTTGTGAATATGTAGTAAAGTGTTAATAATAACAAAATTGCATGGGATTATGTGGGACACTGAAAAAACAGAAATTCGTATCGTACCGAGTCAAATTCGTCCTGGCGCTGCATGTGAGTTTGAATAAATTGAACATTATGGATGGCTTTCTGTATTTCAAAGGGAAGTTTCTTTCTAGGGTTGTCTGGCTCGAGTCCACCAAACCCGTAGGATGACGATGCTGGGCCTGGGTACTCGAGGGCCCCTTGCTCCAAAAATCCTGAGAATCCCTGTAAACTTAATCCGCTGGAAAGTAAAATCGCATTTAGTCCACATGTATGCATACATAAGAGAGAAATGTACGAAGCGTGATGATGGAAATCAAGCGTGCAAATTTTGTACCAAATGATTCATACCTTAGTCGAGAAACTCCTTGAAATCCATTGCACCCATCATCTCTGCTGCTGCTGGGACTTGTTCGAGCTAGAAATTCAAGAAAGTGGCTTCATACATGGTTTGGGATAAACCTGCCTGACATCACGTTCACGTTTAACTTCACATTTGCCCTTAATTTACAAATCTTCAAATTTTGCGTCAGCGCATTTTACTTGTAAGTACTTAAAAAAGTTAGGTGCAGAGCGCACATTGTCACATTATATGATAGAAATTGGACTAGATGGAAACATGGTTTGGTCAAGAGAACGAGAGCTTTGTATATCAAACCTTCTTGTGATTCAAGATTGTTTGATTTCCTGGACAGAGAAAGCCACTTAGGATTAGATAAGATAGAACCAAATGGAGAAACTAACCTGAAGGGCCAGCAGAACAGTTGAGAACGTGCTCGGGAACCTGCAACGTGAGTAAAACAAGAAGTCGTACAGAAAATCCATCTATATACTTCTCCTACGTATATATAGAAACCATTAGACACATGTATGTGTACTTGCTTACCCTCATGAGCAAAAATTTTGGAAGGATTCGAATGAAGACATGGCGGACCCATGGTGTCATTCTATGTGTTGATGGTTTCCGGTAATGAACATTTAGAATAATCGTCGTGACGGTCACAGATAACCCCACAAGGAACGTAGAAAATAATAAGTATCTAAATGAAAGTCAATAATCCTCAGTTAGAAAGGAATAATTAACGTCATGTGTTGGAAATAAAATGTACAAATACAGTTTTGAATGGCATAATTCATGAACAAAATACTTACTTTCCAAGCAGAGGTATTGCTAGAGATGTTGAGGGAATAATTTCGGATATGAGGAGGAAAAACATAGTTTGTGAGAGGAGTATCGATATACACAAAGCGATTTTTTCTCCAGAGTCGGCTAAAATTTAAAATTTTTACAGATTATAGAAAAATATATCTAATAAATTGTAAAACTACACTTAAATATACATGCAACTTATGAATTTGCAAATACCTGGCAAGTAGAAAACAAGGATTGAGAGATATGAGATACCTAAATAAGAATTGGTTAAAACGATCACTTAATTTTTCCCTGAGCATCATCCATCTTCGCATCTTTTATTAAAAATTCGGTGTCTCACCAATCACGGGAATAATAAGATTAACTGTGTAGAACAATGTACGCCGACGAAGAGTGATGTTGCTATAAAAAAAATTATGTATATATAATTTATATATATATTATATATAAGCTATTATATATATATTTTGGCTAACAAAAATATGTCCGGATATGGCTCCTGTATTAAAAATAACTCGTAGTAAGTACAACATACAATATTCACTCAGAGCAATTAATTCCCTTACCTCACAACATGGGTAAAAACGCTCATGCCTCTCAGCAGGAACTGACAGAATATCCCATTCCACAGATGGATAAAACCTGCAAAATTGTATGCTCACAAAATAAGTGCAATAATAAAAATAGCGATAATAGCTCACTCCAATAAGTTAATTCCCATGTCCACGATGCCTTCGTTACCAGGCTCTTGATTTATGTGCTTTAAGTCAATCTGAAATAAAGGTTACGCTTTGTTAAGACTTGGGCTTAAAATAATGGGTGACTTTCCCTACAAAATGGTCAGTTTCATAAGTTACACGTCACAGTAAAGTGAAAGCCAGAGAGAAAGAATGAAAATATGCAACCAAACAATTCCCTTGGAATGGTTTTTGTACAGTAATTCAATTCTTGTCCTGTATACAAATGAAAGAGGTCACACTAAAAATCTAAAACTACTGCTCGCCGAGAGCTGGGAACGTAAATAAATATGCAATGCAGGAAAAATGAACACGTTTCTTACATAAACATAGATATAAAGGCCAAATGAAAAGTCAGTAGGCCGCCCTCAGGAAATGAGCCAAATGTACAGAAAGCAAAATTTTGCTTTCCAAGCCAGCATCTGGAATTCTGGTGTTCTGTATCAGAGAGAGAGAGAGATGAAACAAGAGGGAGATGCTTATTGGTGGCCTATGATGGTGCATAGGAAAACCCTAAGAACAAACGCTGGGATTTAAGGGAGCAAAAGTAAAGTTAAGCCGAGCAGTTATTCTTCATGAAATCCCATGTGTCCTCCTTGCCATGATTCGTATTTGCTTTCACTCTGGAGTGGGAGAAGAGAGAGAGAGAGTTGGTCGTACAGTTATGTGCAGGAGGCCATATGCAGGCTCTGCGATATTGCCAATTCAACGACCGACCGGCACAAGTGATACAGAATATTTCCTCACTATTACACACATTCCCCACATCCTCGACATAGCCTGCCACCACCACCGCCATCGCCACCAATCTCTCCTCCTCTGTTTAGAATGGCCTCTTTACTAAATCAGTCCGACTTTCACTTCCAGATACATATCGTCCTCCCACAACGGGAAAACACTTTGAAGCCAACTCGCATAATATGCGATATTTCATGCCCTCCACTTTCTCCTCTTCCCCCTCGATCTCTTTCCTCACGGTCCATATTTATATTTATAGGCAGATCATATGTTGGACTTTCTTTTCTCATCTCAGGCTATCTCAAAGGCAATGAGGATGCACCATTCACTGCTTTAAGCATACTAATTTCAATTTTAGAGTCATTGACTCAGTGAAAGTGCTTTCTCCACGTGTAGTAAATTGCACAACAGAAATGCAAGTGTATCATGTAAAATTAATAGCATAATTATTAATATGCCTGAAAACCGATTGCTTACACTTATTATGTGTACTAATATATCTAAATGCTATGCACATTTTAACAAGTGGGTTAACCTTAGAAATACCCAAATGAAAATGTTATACTGCAATTAAATAACAGTAATAATTTTCTTACCTGAAACCCACTGCAAATACAAAACAACGATTACTGACTGTAATTCTAGTACTTTACACGAGTAAAAACTGCATACTTACTCATATGTCCAACTTCCAAACTTCATAAAGCACCTATAGAAAATTGGTCGCACATGTTAATTCAAGCTTTGTGGTATCAAACGCTGGATAAGAATTTGACTCTCATACTTACTGTTGCATATCGTATGGAAAATAACGGACATCTATTTCACAAGACGACTTGAAAATAGCTGGAAAAACATCATTACAAGATATATATTTATTTAGTACGTCGAATATGGATACCTGTGTCCTATACAAACAAACATGCATAAATTAATTGAACAATGTTGGTTGGTTAGAAAATTTAGCAAAATATTCATATATGTGATGAAAGACTTGCAATAATGTCGTTAAGCATTTACGAATTGATAAGTATATGCAATTATCAATGTAATTTAACTATTGTTGATTGTTCTGATGCGTTGGTAAATTCTTGTACGTACCAGGAGGTTTCCAAGTCACTACTCCATCACTATGAAGCACAGCTTTTGTCATCGTTGTGACAATATAGTCGCCGTCGGCACTGAGGAATAGAAAAAAACTATTAGTATTCTACTCCTACAACTGTCCAAGGTCTGAGTCGTCAAAGTGGCAGGCAACATGACACGAAACGACGGTAAAAGGACCAAAAGAAGACTACGAACTAGATGAGTTTAGTAAATCCCATATAAATACATATATCGTAGAGTTTATTAAAAAATTATCACGGCACTTTTCACATAATGATACCTTTTATATTTGCATTTTACTTTCTTGCACAGTTCTCTACGATTTACGGCGAACTGATTTTGTTTAAAAGCACCGTTTTGAAATTTTTTTTAAAACTAGGATCGGTCCCATACGACAAATTTTTCTGGCTATTAAGCAATAAAATTTTTAATTATCTTAGAAAATGCTGAAAAGTGTCCAGATAATTTTTTCTATAGTGTAGCTAATGTCAACTATGTACGTATATCACGAATAATTTGTAGAAAATGCCTCCCGTTATCGTCTCTCATGTTGTGCAAGCCGACGACGAGGACACACACACGCTTTTCAAATAATATTGGTGGCATATTGTATTAGAATTTAGAATTTGAAATCCCATCCTTTCTCTCTCGGCATTTGTCAGCATCCTTTAAGAAATTTTAAAACTTACTTGTTATACAGAACGATATCTGGAAGCCAAATGTGTTCCGATGGGACATAAAGCTCCGTTACACCTCCGTACTCTTTAGGATCCCAGATAAACTTATTATCGAACCAAGACTTTCCAGGAGGAGAGTTGAAAAAAATATAATGACAGTTTATTAGTTAATCATTTGTTTATTGGTCTAAAACATTATTTAACACTAAACTCAACTTTCTCTTCAAGCTGTAAGTACTTTTGAATGCAAATGTATTTATATCGCAACTACGTTAATTTAATTGGCATTAATTGGACATCTCGCTTTGTCCAAGTTTAATCAATAGGGAAGCTGGGTGCATGTTTATTATGTAACATGTTTTGTTTAATTGAATTGATTCCCAAGTAATGAAACCAACCAAGCAACGATCTGCGAGCACTTAAATTGAAATGTGCCTCAAGTCATGAAATAATGAGTTGAGCATCTAACGATATCTAATCCAAGCCTAATTTATAAGAGTTCATGGGGACATTCAATTGTGCGCTATTCTGATTTATAACATTCTCTGTTTCCACTACAAAACGGCAAATTGATTTCATATGCCACAACAATAACAACTTGTATGATGTTGTGTAATTATCGTTATTAAGATGAGGCACAACAAGTGCAACGGAAATAATAAAGATTATCTGATGTGCTGCTGCAGTAGCAAGAACTTTTGGCAAATGTCCAATTATTAATATTTGTTCAAATCTCTTATTATTGATAATAATACGTAGGTATATCAATTAGTTATCTATTGTAACAATATAAAGTTAGTTCATGACTATCTACATCCCTTCTATTTCTACTTACTCTGGGTATGTCTTATCTATTTACATGCACATATATTACCAAAATTGTGTAAGTTTCAAGGGTTTCGCTTACTTGGTCAAGCCATACGTTGGTGGTCATAATCTGGTTCTTCAAATCCTGAAAATCAGAAAAAGTTTTCATAAATTATAGTTTGTGGCGTGTGTCTCAACTTCAACTTTTTCTGTGCTTTGACGTAAAAGAGGAAGGAAAAGTCCAATTAGGTTTTAGCTAGCATACGTGGCTGGAAGGGTGGGATTTTGCCTTTGGAAAAAAATGTTGTCTAGCCGTGGAAAAGTAAATTGGATAGAGAAAAGCTAGGGTCAAAAGACTTGGTCTGTCTTATCCTTATCTGTTTTGCACCACCAAGATTTTGTGTGCTTTCCCACTATACACATTCAACCAACTGAGGCCGGAAGTTTCCCAATCTATCCATTTCTGAGCCAACAGATGTGGAGTAGTTATGTAGGATTTACCACCCAACAAGGCAAACCAAGAGGAAACGTGGTCCAATAATGTACTCTTTGAAGCTTTGGGAGGTCATGTATTTTTGCAATAAATATGAGCAATGGGATTAATTAAGCTTACAGGCACAGCACAGCACTGGGTGTAAGTTCAGTATGGGGTAAAAAAGATAACGAAGAAAGGAAGGAAGGAAGCCAGATAAGTTCCCCTCTTCCCCCAAAATGTATCCATGTAAGAACATATCCACATAAGAACATATCTCCTCTGCAACCGACACCGTAATCCCGAGAGAAAATTAATATTAGGATTTTAGCAACGTTCGTTTTTTTCAAACTTAACTTTGCTACCATTTATTCTCAAGAAGATAATCTCTTTTCGTGTAGGAAAATGCATACCATGAACAGAAAGTAAAAAGTCCTACTTGTTTCACTGATTGTGCTGATTTAAAAAAAGTGAAACCTTGAACGAGTCACGACGACTTGACATATTAAATATCTGCGGGGAGAGAGTCCTGAACCTCTCCATGAACGGAGGACTGAGGCAAATGTTAATTTAAAATCAGGAGCTGAACATCTCCGCGTCAGGCTTTAACATTCCGGTCAGGCAAGCGAGTTGAAATGGCAACCTTTCCAATCCCACCATCTCCACTTCGACGTAGCAGAAATGCATTCTCTCTTGGAATTCAATTCACTGAACCAATATGTGACTCATTATCTTCAAGTCTTGTGAAAAGCCATCCGTTACCCCGGTACAACACATGTTGACATCGACTGAACCTTTCCACGCTGTCCAAATTATATCGTTTTAGTTCCCGAGGTTTTAGATTCTGGGGGAAAGTGTTGATGTACGTACATACACAAGTGAAGTACAGCATGGTCGTAATCCAATCGAAGCCTGATGCTGACTTGGTTAGTCGTCGTGTCACCATTTGAGGTGTCGGCTATTGTGTAAGTTGAAAGTTAACTGGCAGCCGGAGAGAGATCAGCCAGCGCTTGTCAAGCGGATTCAAGGTTTACGCAGAACACACTGCAGCAAAGGAGAAGTATTTCTACTCTATATCACGCTCCGAAAAGCATTAATTGGTTTTCTATTTACATTAGTCAGTCTAGAAAGCGTCAGCAGGCGGGCCTCCTAGAAACCTACAGCACATTTTCAAACAAATGGACCCCTCTTGAAATTTTGCCCGTGGAAGCCCAACAGAAAAGTTTCGGATAACTTTGAGATGATGAAATAGAACTTTGTACCAGGAAGCGAAGGAGAGCTTAGCTTGCAGATACTCAAACTACACGGTTCTCGGTCGTTCGTGGACGAGAACCTTGTAGTTTGCTCCTTCTTGAGCACTTGAATTAGATTCCTACAACCAACTTATGGTCCGTGATCGTATGAGAGTGATGACGAAGGAGATGCAGATTACTCTCCGTCACTTCATACATATGCAAAGAAATAAATTTACGACAAAACAACCAGCATTGGGAAATTATACTAATTATTTAAATTCGATCCCTCATGTTGTGTTATGTGATTTCCAATCTTTAACTTTTTATCATTCGTATATCAAAAAATTGTAATTATGGAAAGTTTTAATAACAATTCTTGTATTATTTTGAAAACTATAGTGGTTCGGGTCCATACCTTTGAACTATAGATAGGATTCGTTTCTTGAATTCAAGTTGTGGCATTCAGTAAAAAACAAATCATAGTTGCAGAAAGGAATAAAGAAACTTATGAAATTAATTTTAATTTCTGTAAAGAAATTTAGCCCAGTCAATGCAAAATCATCGGATACAGTGCACTGAACTCAAATGTTGCTTTGAGTTCAGTTGTTTGAAAGTGTAAGCAATAAGGAAAAAGGAATAACAGTTGCATGGACCGCAGAATTTACTACAGCAGCAGCGTGAGAGAAAGTGAATGTGGTGTATGTACGCAAGACATACTTTACAAAGACACTCGTTCATGCGGTAGGCAGAAATTTGTGACTAAATCCAAGTCACCAAACAAACCTCTCGGATCGGTTCTCTTATGGTTCATAAAGGCGAGGATTTTCTCGACTTTCTTCCACTACGACTTTTTCCGTATTTCTCCTCGATGCACAGGGACACGACACGGCTTCAATTGTATTATTTTCCCACTCTTCCTACAACTGTCTTGGTGCCTACCGAACTGCTACTACTTTCTCCCAACCTGCCGTACTGCCGCTGAACTCTCGTTACTCACAAACTTCTAAATAGATCAGAACTACACACGGACAATAAATTTTCAATTTTACTCAAATGCAACATATTATCTCGTATGCATATACACGCGTAAGTTAGACCAATCTGTAGCCCAATGCCAATTGTGCCGAGATAATTTAGACTAATTCAGACTAATTTAAAAAATGATGGCTTCCTTCGTAATACCTAAATAGATGATATAAATTACACAATATTATATGAACCACGCTCTGAGGAAGTGCCCTAATGCAAGGTATTTGTAGAATAGTATCTATGCGTGTCGTTTCTCTCAAATTCAGCACATTTTGAAATGAGTTCTCTAGCCATCGTATTATTTTGGAGGATTTTCTTAGTTTGAGATACACTGTCATTCACGCAGCCACTGGCGACTTTCTCAAACGTTTCACAACGAGATTAGACCGTGTCACAAATTCCCAGTGCTACAGGAGCTTTCACCGGTTCGGTGGTGATGAGAAATATCAAGACGAAGGTACAAAAGCAGGTGCCGGCGGCATTTTGATCCTTTGACTCTCATCTTGACTGACATCGCGACAGGGGAGAAGAGACGGAGGGGAGCAGAGACCATTTTAATTTACCTCTCACCGCAGCAAAAAATATTTATGCCTGAATTATGCATGAACGCAAAGACATGTACTTATTGTACTGTGTGCCGTCAACACTGGGAAATAAGACCATCATAACCGATTCGCTGCTTCCGTCGTGGTTTCCAGCATCCAACTTGCTGCTGCTGCTGTTGGAGAAAGTTGTGATAAAATGACAAAGGGCTCTTTCATTTGTTTGTTTAATGGATGCAGCCGCACAACTGGCTTGCTTATTTATTCTTACTAAGTGGCTTTCCCTTTGAATTTGGTTCTTTTTGCAATCATGTTCGTCCAGTGTGTGGCTCTATTCTTCTTTTCTGTCTGTTCTTTCAAGTCCTTTCCCATTTTACACGTAGGGACAAAAAAATGTGTTTGGTAACAGACAGATGAAGGGAAACTACAAAGGGTGGTCGTGAGTCTAATAAAATATCCAAATTTTTTACAGTCAGCAGTTCATAATGGCATCAGCTTTGATCATGTTTGGAGGCAGCAGCATTCCGTTGTTGCATTGTTCTATATTGACGTTGGGTTATTTCGGAGCGTCGAGCGGAGACTGCCACACCTAAATAACCATGGATGGTATAAACATATTCGTCGTATAATAATATAATAATATAACGAATGCTTCGGATGCAGGGAGGGATCATCTTCTGCAACAAAGACGCGGCGGAGAATACAGGCCCGAGGGAATGATCAAGAATAAAAATTGCTACTGCACATAGCCAGCTTGGATTTTATTGTGTCGAGGAGTATGTCTGGGCATTGGAAAATTATTTCCGTTTGTTATTATGCTCCCATTCTTTTTCTGGGAAGCTTCCAAATGTCCTAAAAGTAAAGTCCAGTCGACCCAACGGAGGGTTTTCTGAGATCATTTGCCGGTCGGGCAAACACTAAAATAAGACGACACTTTTGCATGGGTCGTGAAGGAGACCGTCCATGGAACTGTTTTCAGAACCATCTAATTCGGTCAGTTGACGAAGGAACAAATGTTATTGTTCATCAGTTCTCCTTTTGCATGCATACATGTATCCGTCCACTGGTCGTTCGTCCTCCACTTTCACCTCTGCTGCCCATCAAGCTTCTCTCTCTCTGGTCAGTCGACTAAATTGGGAGAACTGCTAGTTGGAGGTGAGTGTAACAAGAAGGCCAACCGACTGAAACGACCAAAGTAGAAAGTATCCCATGAAGTAAAATGTGTAAACAGTGTTGCTCCTGATGTGTCTTTTAAGGAGACTCGTAAAATCCAGTTGGTTGCCGTTTCTTTATCTGCTGCTGCTGTTGTTGGTGTGGAAATATGTGTGTACACGGAGAGGCATGGGATGGAGTAAGAACGAGTCTTGAAGCACCACTCTTGCCTCTATTACACCACTCTTCATTCATTGTGGTGTGGTTGCGTTCCGGTCTTTCTGGCTGCTGCTTTCCCCACCAGCTCCTCTAAATGATATCCCCATACACATAAAGGGAATAGAGTAGTAGTGACTCCTTGGCTCGCAGCCTCCCAAATTCCATTTTCTTCGTCAGCTTTCTCTTTATTTACATTAGTTACCTCCTGGAATTGTTTGAACCCTGCAGTTGTATTATTTCGTGTGTGATGAAAGCAGGGCTTCCATTTCACTTTATAATACGAGGCCCAGAAGATGAAATGCTGGTTCTCAGTTTCATAACGCGTTTATTCCAATGGACAGAATCTACATTCTAATTCATTTCTCTATGCTCGCACTATCTTAGCAGCAGCAGAGGCAGAGGACGAGGCAGTAAATACATTGCATCATCATGCTTTCTCCTTTATGTATGTAGGCGACTAAATATACGGAATGCATTACTCCACGTCCTTACGGTT